TGTTGTCCAGCTCGAGTTCAGTGGGTTTCGCAGATTCCCAGTAATGCCAAGTTGTATCTCCTCATTTCCGTTGGTATTTGACTGGTCTTCCCGGTCTCGCGCATTGACGGTACGTTTCATGTACCCATAACAATTGTTGCTCTAGTTGCTAAAAGGGGCAACGGTCCCGTGATTTCCGAAGGAACCCTGTTTTCACCATGAGACGTCATAGTTCTTCTAAATGAAGACCTTTTAACTCCCAGGACAGGGTTAAAATGGTTTAATTTGTTGATTCTGGTTAGCGTTTTTTAGCGAGTTAGTTTTCTACGGGATGGGGTCGCTAATCCCATATCCAACCCTCCTCCTTCACCGAGGCTTTGGACCGGTAGTAACTCTGGAAGTGCTACAGATTGAGTTGACTAGGCTAGTCTTTTTTAGATGGAAAAATAACACTAACTAATGAGATTATTAAAACATCTACATTGACAAGTAATTCCCATAATGTATGGTATATTAGGTACTCATTATTAAAACTGATCTGATTAATTTTATCGGACGTAACTGGTTAAAGAGGTTTTAGCAAGTTTCCGGACTTTATTAAGGTGTACTTCATCCAAGACAACAATTTCGTCCTCTAACTAATCAACTTAGGCGTCTCGCATTTGTCTACCCTTGTCTGTGGTCGAATATGACATCTCTTTCGTTTGATAATATTTTGTCTGTCTCCTGCAGATATAACTTCACAAGACTTGGTATCATTTTCATTTTATACAGCTGTACCAAATCATTTTCAGGTTAAGGATTCCTTAAAACATTCATTTATCTAAAAGAAAGAATATGCTAACAAATAATTGCCACTTGCCATCATATGATCATCCGATAAAACTTGCTTCTTACACTTTGTCGCTTCATTCAAGTAACTAGTTTGAGTTCAATTACGAGAATCTTTTATATTAGTATCAGAGCCAAAAATCTTGTAACTCATCACAGTCTTGTCTTTAATCGAGGTAAAGGCGCAGATTGGAACACAAAAGACATCTTATAAGAAACTCTCTATGCAAAGGGTGGCTGCTTATTTGCAATAACCAAGTTTAAAATATTTGAGCTCTTCGTATGGAGCTTAAGAGTTTCTAGAATCTACATGGATAATGGATCTTCGTATCGTTAAAAATGATCTCAAGACTTTGACAGCTATTGCATCGTAATGAACCGTAATTTCAGTCATTTATTAATAGCGGCTCTTAGGTTGCTTTTTGTCTGAATATCAACTAGCTCAATGTTATTCATTGTGCAAGTATTCATACTTTATGAGACATGGATGACCTATTCTATGACCATGAGTTTCAGAAAAGATCTGGTTTTCTTCTAGATAATCATACAACTTCTTACGAATAATGTTGCCTAAATTTCAACAAACAATCTGGTTATGCTTGCACATCGTTAGTTCTCATATTTGCGTCTGGTACATGCTTCGAAAATGGGGCTTACTTTTGTGCTCTTCTAGTCTTTTGGTAATCTACCTTGGGTTGCATATAAATTAAAATATATGTCCAAGGGATTGGCGACAAAATACGCTTATTCCTCTAGTAACGCAAAATGTATTTCATTGGCTCTCATAGATTTTCCCACATCAAGCTTATTTAGAGGACCAAAGACTTCGTGTTCCTTAATGGTCACAAAGACCAGAATGTTTGTGCGAGGTTCGTATGAAATAAAAGGAATGCATCTCTACAGCATATTTCGAGGTTTCCTAAACTCGTCAGTACCCAGTGACTTAAATCTTTCCAACATTCTTCTCCTTCTAAGAAGAAAGGTGCGAACCTCTTTACTCAACTACGGTGGGAGTTTCCCGAACCCCTTGATGTAGCTCGAAGGAAATGAGGCGCAGTGACCTTTATGAACAAATTTCTGAATACGCCTCAAGCCAGCTTAGTGGGGGATTCTGGTTTTATTGTCTAGTCTATGGAGGATAATTAGTATATAATATCTTGTATATTTGCTTCCCAGAATTCTAGCTGTCACAACTTCGTTATTGATAACTATATGGAAATCGGAGACTGAAACTGTACGTTCACCTTCACCTAGAGGTGACATATAAAGGAGGTTTGTAACGTCACCCTCATAATGAGTAGATTTCAGATATAGTAAATATGAATCGGAGTCCGCGTCATGCAATGATTCTTCTTTAACGTGTTACACTAAGGTACATATGATAGCGACCTCAACTGATTTCCATTCAAAAGACTTTTTTCACAATTCATTCCTCAGATTTTTCCAGTCTATTGTACGTTCATAAAAGTTTCTTTAGATTAAACACGGACTACTTAATGACCAAATGGTAAGACTGCCTGGCAAGTTCTAAGCCACCTCACAGTTCAAACTGGGGTAAACTAAACCAATCAGCAGCTCTTCTCCTCTGCATTTTAAGCGGTATCTAGCCGATTCGCGCGTTCCACTTTCATGGAATGTGTTGTCGATAGTAGTAAACGCGATAATATTGTCCGTCTGGGTACCTAATCTTTAAGCCTTCAGCACCGCGATTTCTGACATATCTCGAGATGTTGAACTCTACACACTAATATCATTCTTAAAGCGAGTTACGAGCTCTGAACTTTCACTCTTCTTGACCCTATGAAAGGCAACAGAGTTGTAAATATGATCAGCCCTCGATTTCTCAGCCGGCGTTTTGAAGATCTGCTTTTCTTGAAGGACATTAGATAGTTTCTTATCCTTGATTTGTACCCATTCATCAGCCTTCGTTAAGGTGACAATCACATTGACAAGAAGCTGTTAATACCCTGGGTGTTCGGGTCGTTTATTTTTCTTGCTAGAAACGGATCTAGCTTTATGATTAGGTTTTCTGGACGTTTCATCCTTTCTTACGCTTTTACTTCAAACAGAACTGAATGACATCCCTCATTCCCCCTTTGAACCACATAGGACCATTAACTTTGAACTCGTTAGAGCGAATACCATTTGATGCATCTCAAGTACTCTTTCTGGTGCTCCTTTTAGCACCGTTCACCATTTCAATGGTTTCGGATAGAACTCATTCAGCATTCGAACAACATTGCTGACTCAGCCATATAAAATCACCTTTATTCACCATTGCAAAAACAGCGAGTGTTGCATCCGTGAAAATGCCGTGCTAAAATCCTTTACACTTATAGCATTGCATGCCATTTTTAGTAGGGTATCAGGAATTCGAGCGTTGGTAGTTGCCTTTTCCGAACTGCCCAGTCAACAAGGTTTTTAAATAATTCAGAAACAGACAAAATACAAAGATAAAAACTGACAATCAGAAAAAAATGAAAAAAGTGAACTGTCAGGTTTAAAAGTGCAACACGAAAAACAATTTTACTCAAAAAGTACAGATGATAAATTACTTTCGAAAAAAGACGGTAATCTCGGAGTTACTTTTGCCAAAATAAATTTGGTTGAAATCAAAACAGTAGTTTTAATGCATAATAAATTATTAAAATGTTACCATCAACCCACAGTGGAAAAATACTTTCTGCTTTCTTAAATTGAGTGCGTTGTTTTTTATTCATAGTAATTTGTAAGCATTTTCACTCAAAAAATCAACTCATCAGAAATAATCTGTGAAAACGAAGGCTTTATCACTTCTGACAACTTTTAAATTCTCTGATGCAATTATTACAGTACAAGTTACTGACCTCTCACAGTTTAACAGGAAGCGCATTCTTCAAGCCCGGAGCTATAGTGTGTCACTGTAAGTTGCTTATCTGTCGATCAAATATGTTATCGCGTATGTCTGCTTCTACCTTTCCTACTAATGGTACGCAGTGATTTTTTAAAAGTCGGTTTGCGAAAACATTGAGAAGCTGTTAATTCACACTTGTCTGACATGTTTTTTTTGTAGATTACAGTATTTACGGTGTTGTAGCATTAAGCCTTTAAGATTAATAAGTTACTCTCAGGCTTTCAAGTCTTGTCAGACATGAATGTGATCTTAGCTTCTTTAAATGTAGTTTGGGGGGATGTAACCTGATCAGAGCACTTTTCTCTCCCTCCAACTCCTCTATATCCCTTTGCTTACCGTGGCTGTAAGCTATACAAACGGTGTTGCTATAAGCTTAACATGTTTGACTATTGTGTAATACGACATTTTGTCAACAGTAACACCTGAAAACGGGCGAATTCATCATCTGCAACCAGTCGTTCATCAAAGATATGAGGAAATGTCAAGTTAGCTGATTGCAACTACATCAACCTAATCTTTCATCGCGTCATTCAATGTATGCAACCATTGATTATAGTCATACGAAGTTACTATATGGCAACATCCATTTATCTTTGTTTAACGTCAAATTTTCTCTAGTATATCGTCGCAATGGATATCGAGTTAGGTGGTCTTTGTCTAACCACACATCTCCCAACTACCGTAGACCATGGTGATTTATAATCTCATCAGTTGACTTGGGTTTTACCGAGCAACCTACCCTTAACTCATTCGTTAGTTGCGCTCCACTGTATCAATTCTTGAAGACTCACGTTTTCATCTTTTATGTGCAATATTTCACAGCTGTAAGTTGTAGCAGAGTGGACTGTACTCACCTCTTTGTTTGATAGGTATCTCATTTTCACTAATGATAACTCAGGTTGTTAAAAACTAAGTGGGTTTTTCTATTCGAATCGTGGTTTTGCTAGTTATCAGTGATAGGGTTTCCAAGACAACTAAAGTGATCGGAGCACTTAACTATTGCAGTCGGCCGAAAAATGGTATCTACTTAAGTTAATTATTGAAGGTGACAAATGACTTGTAATATGTCAGTGATGTGTTGAATGTTTTCTGCAAACTAGTTGGTGATATATGTCAGTCAACCGCTTCTGTTTGTTTTAGCAGATAACTTGCCAGCATAACACTTATGCTATTAATAATAGTGATGTGAACATGTTTTCGGTTGTTTCCCAATTGTTTTAAGGTAGTATACTCTTAATTTTTAATCACTGTGTTGTTTTATGATAAATTTCCCGTTTTTTCTTTCACTTTTCCATAGATGGCTATTATAATTCCGAGGATAGGGTCATATCTTACACTATTTACCCGCTCTTTGTGCAGCAATTTTCGTAGATGCTCTTCCGTCAGCAATACATATCTACCTGCTCCAAGGACTCAGATTTATTCCCATTTTGAACAAGTGTCTCAAATGTCATCAGTTATTGGCAAATTTATAACCTATTCTGAAAATGAGTTTTCCCTTTTCATAGAACCATTTCTCAAAGTCGAGTTAGTAGAAGAACTTAAAACCTTTGGTGACCTGTCACTTTTGATTCGGAAACCAACAATTAACATGATTAAGGACGTAATTAACATTCGAGATTTACAGAAAGAAAGTTTCAAAAAGGAACCTGACTCCTCTAAATCCGTCGCACTAGCTAAATACTGTGTTCCACGCTTTGTACTTTATGGCCAACCGGGGACTGGTGTTTCAGTCATTTTGGGACAAATTATGTGTTTCGCCGGTAGAGAAAAATGGCTTATATTTCCGTTCACGAGTTGTGAAAATTTTCTGGAACCATCAAATGACATTGCTCCTAGCAATGAGTATCACTATAACCAACATCGTGAGAATTTTGCGGGTGATGCTTTTGATTTCCCAGCTCGTTCTGCTGAATGGCTTAAAGTCTTTTTACAACTTAACCGACCATTGTTTGAAAAGGTATCTGTCATTTTATTATTCTATCTCCCTGATTTCCTCGGTTTTCAGAGTACTATTGTTTGTGCCCTCATTTTAAAAGTGTTTTCTGAAAATTCCATGGCAGTATTAGGATCTTGATACCATGAGTTTTTGGTTCATCAATAATTGGTGACAAATTAACATAGATGCACCTAAGACTTGCGGAAAGTCTCCAGTACGGGACAAATAGAACTACTGATTTCGGTTTTTAAAGGCGAGTGGCTGCTCTATAACAATGATTTATGATCGTCCATTTTTGTAGGTATTTTACCAAAATCTTGAGTGCTGTTAGAGATGAAAGCGGTTTTCACTTCCTGGTTGCTCATACCATGGAAGGGTTCTTCTGGTGGTACCTGAGAAGGAAATTGGTTTAGAGGTGGTCCTAGTGACCTGAGAGCGTGACCGTAGTGCCCAAGGGACAACTACTTAAGGTCGGTCACACTACCTTTTTACAGGTAGTTTTCGTGTTAGCTCCGTACTTGTCGAGACCTACCTCCGGAGACGGATATCCGTGGGATAAGGCGAGTTGTGCATTTTTAGGTCCTAAAGAAAGCATCTTACTACCGTCACATCTCTGCACAGCCAGCGGTACGACTTCACCCTCGGACCTTGGGTTTGCTGCTTTTAATTGTATTGCTCTTCAACCGACCTCTCTGGCATGGTAGGACCTTGAGGAACGATTGTTCCAGCCAGTATAGCACGACTTGTTCATCACGATAGGCAAGCCTGACCACCACGTCAAGGTAACCAAAATGGCTGAATATATTACTGTACTATTAATTTACTTACTTTGAGATTATTTCTCGTACACTGTGTTTCATAACCAGCGTGTGATTGCATTTATTTACTATGACTTGTTTTCGCGTACATCCGTGTTTATCCAAAATAGACTCGTTTGTACTGATTTTTTCCCACGAAAACATATCTAAATCACATCCCTCGTCGTAAATAGTTAGTATCACAGGATGTGATAAATACTTATAAAAAGTGGTCTGAATAACCCATCATAATCGAACTTGTAAGTTGATGTGTTCCTATGGTTTCAAACCGTATATGGTGATAAACACAAAAATATAGTCCAACATACACAAGTCTATTTCTCTACAAGTTTCACATTACATGAATGCAACTCAGTAACTAATTAAATAGTTGTTTTGGTATGAGGGCGAGTAATATTACCTGAGTGCCAGGACGAAAAGAGGATCTGAATTTACAATCCGGTGATTGAAAATCAAGAACTAGCTATTCATTTACCACTTGACACGTTTGTTAATTGATAGTACTGTGTATCCACTTAGACCTAGCTTATCGAAGCAAGGTTAGAATACATAGTTTGTTAACTAGAAGTGCTCAAACCAATGTATTACAATTCTATCACTGTAATAAATAATTCAGTTATTTTCAACTTATTTTTCCTGTTTTCGAAACCATAAAACCTGTTATTGTCAATAAAGTGTTTACTAGTACATTCATATGACTAATATGATATTTGGTAGGTAACTTGCGGAAGCAGGTGGGGAATATTTCTAATTTCGAACCACTATCTTCTTCGATTGCGATGTTTTCTGCAATGAATATAAAGTAAGGGAATTTAAACAAAAAACCAAAATAAATTACTAGTGGTTGAAGTTAACGACTACTGCTTTAAACTGTAGTTATGACACTTGAATATTGAGCTCAATAATTACTGGGAGCCCATAGTCGGAGATCTCAAACAGAATGAACTAAAATCGACCTCATAAGCCTATTAATCTTCCGTCTTGCAACACTTTTGGATCATTTTATTAATTATTTTCCCTATTTCTTCATGACTTTCAAGTTTTGGTGACTTAAGTCTTTCCGTTAACTTTTACTCTGGAATATTTAGGTATCTAGAACTGTATATTCGACTCGTTTATTATCTCCTCGGGTTTCGCTTTCAACCTCTCATCTGCGCTCAGTCCAGACGTTTAGAACAATGGGTGGAACATTTCAGAGAACAGTTCAGCTGGCCTCCAGCTACTCTACAACTACCCTCCATTCCCAGACAGTGTGAATGGAACATTGAAGTAGGTCCCCCAATTCTAGCAGAAGTCCAGAAGGCTATAGTTAATCTGAAACGAGGAAGAGCAACTGGTAGTGATGGATTGGCTCCAGATGTCTTGAAGTATGGTGGTCAAATTTTAGCGATCAGGTTGACTAATGTTTTAGCTCAAATCTGGGAATTGAATGTAATCCCATCTGAGTGGTCACAATCACTGATCGTCTCAATATATAAGAGAGGGTTAAAATCATCCTGTGACAACCATAGAGGGATTAGTTTAACTAATATAGTATCTAAAATACTAGCCTCGATAATCATCAGACGCCTAACTAAGACTCGTGAACTGCGAACACGAGGGAATCAAGTTGGCTTCAGACGTGGTCGTGGCTGCATCGACCACATATTCACCATTCGTCAGTTTCTAGAACACAGGGATACTTATCGGCAGTATCTGTCATTGAAAGGCGTACCTCAGAAGTACCTAAACCTTGTGAAGGCTCTTTACTCGAACACTGCTAGTCAAGTGAGAGCTTATGGCGAACTGTCATTTGCTTTTGTAACCTCAAGTGTGTCCGTCAAAGCTATCCACTTTCTCCATTTTTATTTAACTTCATCATAGACCTACTGATGGAAATAACACTCTCGTCGACTGAATTCTCGGGTATTGATCTCCATCCAGGAGGTCCACTTATCGACTTAGAATACGCGGATGATATAGTCCTGTTTGGTGAAGGCGCTGATAGAATGCAGAGTCTTTTGTAGCACTAAGCAACAATGCCAGGATGTTTGGAATGCGCTTCTCTCCCTCTAAATGCAAGTTGTCGCTTCAGGACTGGTCTGCGTCAACACATGCGTTTCTGAAAAGTGTACAACCTTTCGTTGTCAAAGTTACAGAAAACTCAATAAGAGACAATATGGTTGCTGGCAATGTACAACGAAAAGAATGTACATTATTCAGTTGTTCATTCACTGAAGTGCTAACATCTAACTGGCGATTCCTCAATATTTATCGCCAGGACCGACCAAGAAGAAAGAAACGGAAACTTGTTGAAATACTTTGCGCTGAGAATTCTATATTGTACCAAAATTATAATATTGAATAAAGCTAATAATAATAATAATAAGGATAGGGAGTGAAGTAGTCGAACGCGCTGACAACTTCACTTATGTTGGAAGTCTGATCAGCCCTAATGTCGTTTGGCTTTCACCAACTTACGTTACCTATGACGAAAGCGAGATATCTGTCTATCAATTAAGTAATGGACTAGTATACTGCTCAGCAGGTCATTATGTTCTACCTTACGGCTGCGAAACGTGGCCATTAAGAGTAGAAGATACTCGTAAGCCACTAGTATCTGACCATAGATGCCTTTGAAATATTGCTCGTATCTGCTGGTTTCACCGGGTAAGTAATAGTGAGGTTAGACGCAGGGTATTAGGGAATGATGGTAAATCAGTTGATGTGGTTGTGAATCTTTATCGACTGAGATGGTTGGGCCACGTGGTACGTATACCTGAACACCGATTACCACGAAGTGCAATCCTAACCGGCGTTGGGGATGGTTGGAATAAAGTTAGGGGCGGCCAAACTGAAACGTGGCATCAGTCAGTGAAGTTACTAACTTCTGGTCTGAGGCATGTTGGTAGATGCAGACTAGTTGGTTGGGGTCCGCGTGACTATCGTAACCAATGGTTGGAGACTCTTGGTGACATGGCTCAGAATCTACCACAGTGGCGTTGGTGTATACACTCTCTATCTTCCCTTAAACTATGAGATTAAAATTGCTTCATATCTTTCTTTCTATGAACTAATTCTTTCTTCCTGTACTATGTCCTTACGTGCAATCTTTCTTTTATATATTACCACCTCTGAATTAACTACTTTTACGAATGCGGTGTCCATCTTGTTGTGTTAATGAGGTATGGCAACTTGGACCGATGCATAAATGTGCCTGGTCCTACGTTGTAGCTGACTGACACTTTTTACTCAATCTTATTCTCAAACCATATTTGATATGTTTGGTTTTCTTTACTATTGTAAATATTACCATTACTTTCATTTGTTTGCTTTACATTTTGTTAATTTCCTTTCTTCTTGCTTATGTGTTATGTCAGTTTGAACCAGTGAGCATTTATGTCAGGTCAAATGTGATAGAATGCCCCAATTTTATGACATTTTAACCAATAAAGACAAGTAATTTGCGTCTTGATACCTTAAGAACCAAGTTTTGTTTAAATTACATTGAAATACAATTTCATATAATTTTTCCATCTTTTGATCACCTACTTAAAAACCTGTTCTTGATAAGTTCATTGTTTCAAGTGACCAATAACTACTCATGCTGTGAAGTTCGTCTGCCAACATGGCCTTAATATTAAGCTATATACTAATTATCAGTCTTGGTGTACGTAACAATAAAGGTTATTAAACCTTTTGTACTTCATTACATTAAACTCAGCTTCATTTTATCTAAACTGCGATTAGAATAAAATCATACAAAGGATCCATGCAATTAAATTTTAGAACAAACTTAGCTAGCAAGTCACAAAACCTCACGATTAAAGTGAAACCATGGCAAATTTAGAACTTAGACGATTAGTTCAGAGTATTAAATACCAAACTGATGATCCATTCACATCACTAGTTCGATTCTAGCAGGTTTGCGTTTTCGCCACTTATCACTCATATAATACATATCAAAATTTGTTACTTAGTCATGTTCATCGAGTGATATTAGTTGACATCAGTACTACATATTTCGTGGCCTGGTTTTAATTTCGCACCAGTTTGAATTTGTCGTGAACCTTTAATAATCATATTTTTAGCTAAAAATACGTTTCAATTCTTTAAATAGTCCTACAGATAAACCTCTAAAGAATATTCACATAATTTTTTCAATGATTATCACTGTCAAAAGTTATCTTTTTCATTTAGTTAAAACCAGTTGTATCTCGACAAGTAGAATGGACCAAAAAAGACATAATGCCCGAAGGAACATCCTGGGTAGATTTAATAAATTTTGGCATCGCCAGGACCAAATACGCAACGGATTGTATTGGAATTTTATTAAGAGAGGTAGTTTATTTAGTTGTTTTTCTCTACATAATTAACATTAAACCATGGAAGTAGAACATATATTGTAACTATCTAATAGATTTCCATAGATGGTTGAAAATGACACTTCAAATAAACCATATAGTATAGGTACAGTTTCGAAACAGACTAAATGAAAAGGTTCTCAACAGTGCGATTGCTCGACAGTGGACATGGTGTTGTTTAGAAATTTTTCAAAATAATCAATAAGAGAAGGGATTCAAATTCGTGACTGTTTACCGAAGCTGTTGTAATAAAAAGATATACGTCGAAAATGTGCATCCAAAAATATATCCTGTTTTGCCCCGGTGACCTCGTTTTCATGAGATTATAACGCAAGATTTTTCCATAACTTTGATGTTAATTTATTATATCTTAATTCTTACTTCAGTGGTTTACTCAACTAGTCTGTATCTTTTTTAATTAAGTATTACATAATCTATCCTCGATTTCGAGAAAATTCCGTCCCCACAATTTTTTGAATATTCATATGTTTAACCCATAATTAAGCCAACGTGTGAGTGATGTTAATTCTTCCATATTACTGTCTCATACAATTATTCTTCCTCGACATGTTAACTCAATTTATTCAAGACGTTCGCGACGTAAATTATGTACTCTTCTTTCGGTTTAATGATTAACATTATAGTTCTAGCTTGTAGGCAGCTGAGTAAAAAATATTTATGTCATTCTGCTACGATATTTGTCCTTTCTTTATTCAAATTATGACAATATTTCATAAATTCGCTATTAGTATTTTCTCTTTTTTTACTCTGCTTCTTATCGTTTTCTCACTGCACTTGTGTAAAGTTTAGTAAATTGAACCGGTACATATTCGCATCAGGTTTTTCGTTGTTTTGGTGTAGTTAGTTTGTCAAAAAGTTTAGCGGCTATGTGTAAATCTTGGTTTTTTCGAACTCAAGCCATTTTCAAAGAGTTTGTTTGCTACAAACCACCCAGGAAACGGGTACTAGGTAAGGATGGCAAATCAATTGATGACGTAGTGAAACTTCATCAGTTGAGATGGCTGGGACACGTGTTACGCATGCCCAACGACCGACTGCCTCGACGTGCTATGTTCAGTGGTATAGGAGTAGGTTGGAAGAAAGCTAGGGGCGGCCAAACCAAAACATGGCACAAGTCCATGAAGTCACTGACAAGTGAACTGAGTCATGTTGGTAGGTGTAGACTACCTGGTTGGGGACCGCGAGATGACAGCAACCGATGGTTAGAGACCCTGAATGACATGGCTCAAAATCGTTTGCAATGGCGCAGGTGCATCCACTCTCTGTGTTCTCCCAAACTCTAATCTTCTGATTTCTTCATGTCCCTTTTTTCCTCTTTCCAAATTTCTTTCACTGGATTATACTCTTTAAATAACATCTCCAAACCCTAATCTTCCCGATTACTACTTATACTCTTATTACCTCTATCACTACGGGATTTGAATCGACAAGTGCATCTCTGTGCTAATGTGGTGTGGCAACTCGAACTGATGTACGTACGTACGAAGTTCTACGTTGTTACTGACTGACTGACTGTAAGACGTCTTTTCCTAGGTGTTATAAATCACTTCATAATTTGTGGTTGGTTGTTAATGCCTTCAACTTCGAGACCAGCCATTGAGTTTTGGCAAACTTTACAAATTTACATTCTTGTCTTCATAAACCTGACGCTAAATGCAAGTGACTCAAAATATTCTTGAACCATATCATTACGCTCTTTTTATGTTACATGAACTTATTTTGAGGTTTTATTGGTACAATTATCTTAGTAAACATCCGGACCATATATTTTTAGATGCGTCTACTATCATCTACTCCTGATGGCCCTCCTTGTTTATTGGTCATCGATGGTGTAAATTTCCTGTGGTGTCGCGGTACTTTATTAAAGGATAAAACTCTTTCGGTTAATGTTACTACTGATCGATTGGCAATTGTACATCATTTGAAACGTGCACTGAGGGGAGACTGGCGTCATGGTGTCATAGTTACCTCTACAAATATTCGGGCGGCTTGGCCTACAGATAGGGAACAATATACTCCTGGGTAAGTAAATAAGCGTAGATTACTTTTTGTCTAGCTGTGATCTCTGATTTTATCCTTGTATGATTTATATTTGGAGGATTACTCATATAATTTTTTCAGTTAAGTTTCCTAGAATATTATCACCGTAAAAATCGTTTTCAAGTCTCAATAAAAATTTTTTCCCTGAAATGCACAATGACCAACCTTATTTCTGTATTATTACTACCAATTAATTTACAAAATACAGACTCATCCACTTGGCTATGAACCGTATTCTAATCGTGAGGGTTAGTGATATTGTGGTGTGCGTTGCTAATGTCGACAGATATAAGTAGTGTGTATCATGAATCGAAAGTGAAATGTCTGGCGGCAGAGGCTTAAGAAGATCGAAGAAAAGAGAACGAGAAGATAGGATGATTGGTGCGGCAACGAAAGAACATTCAAGTGTTAGACGATTGGTTGACATTTTGCAAATGAAGTATTTACTATATGGTTCTCAGATTTTACTAAGACGTTCTGTAATTTTGTACTCAAATACATTCAATTGTCCCCAATTGTGTTCTCGTTCACTACAATACTACCGAGCTATCCAAAAATAAGTAGGTGTAGTGGAGTTCGAACCTCCAACAAAGTATTTAAAAGTCGAACCAGTGAACTGCCTCTTCAGTAGGTCAATTCAGTTAGCCGGTATTAGAATAGAAACTATAAAGTAGTAACCTCAAGTCTCAGTATATAATAAATTGAATTGGTTTATAACTAAACTTGATCTACTGCCTAGGAAAATTCACAGTGGAATATATGTTTGATAATACCATTTACACTGCTTCACACGACTGACAGCAACGTCACATCTTTCAGTGTATGAAGATACGAACATAGAGAGGCAATGATTTCCTGTTTACCCATTTCTTTGTTTGAATTTCTAATCATTTTGATAATACCAAGTATATAAGAGTTTGTTCCTCTACATTTATAACTATTTGGGGTGTTAGTTATACGAATGAATGATTACTAATTCCTAGTAAGTTTTGCCTTGTTTTAGTGACCATTGTACTAGCAGTTATCTTTATTTTAATTAAAATATGCAAGTGAAACCGAATCTTTTCGTATCTGTTAGACACTTTTTGAACCATAAACTTTTTTAGCGACTTCATTTATTTTCTACAATCTTACATTAATGACCAGTTTTTACACCCAGTTGATAATACATTAAAATCAAATATTATAGTTTCTGATGTCTTCACGAGAACAGACTTCAGATGTGTTTTTCGTGATATATTTTCGTTATATCCGATGAGAATAACGAATAATAACTTTTCGGATCCGTTTATAGACTAATACTATACGTATATTCTTATTGTATAATCGATAAAGAACTAAACTATTCATATTCGTGTTCCTCTTATCATAAGCTTTATTTTGACCTATGAACTACTGTTATACGATTTACCATTCTTGAGTTATGCCCAGTCTATCAATTACTATCTCTCTTATTCACGGCCACATTTGGCTAAATCTTGTACAAATGTTGTTTCCTATTTTATGGTACGGTGTGATCTATTTGGTTCGTATGTAAACCCAGTTTGTTTGAAATACAAGATTCATACCACAGAGGCTGAGATTGGTGTTTAAATGTTTATCATACATATATACGGTTGATTGACGAGATATAGAAAGCATTGGTTCAGTACTACTGCACATTAGACCGAGAACTTATCTTTTATTAGGCCTTAACAAGACCTGTGTTTATTTAAGTCAAATATTACTTGGTGAATTATTTTATCCATCACATTATTATTTAGTTAGAAAGTTGTTGATGAAAAACGTGTCAATCTTAACCAGACAAATTTTTTTGATCAGCATTTGGGATAATTATTAATCACCTGTTTTATTTCAAATGTAAATCGGTTGAAATTGTATTACTTTAAAACACTACAAAAAGAAAATAACAATAAAAGTAATTAAGTATTATTGTAGTAAAGTAAGGAGAAAATGAAATGGATACCAAATAGGCGTAAAAAAATATGTTTAGAATTTATAAAGGCATTGATTAGATTAATCTGAATCAATGCTTGGGGTTTTAAATTATATCCGTTATTATTATCATCATATCCGATTTTCGTTGTTAAGTGATCTGAGGTAGCAGTCTACACTTGGACTCGTTATTGGAGCTCAGACATGAAAAACTAAAATTTAAACAGATAATTGGAATGTTGACTGGAAATGAAACATGAACTAAACATTGAATAGAAAATGTCGCTTGATCGATTTTAGGTTATTATCTCTAATATATAAGTTGTATCAATAACAAATCTAGCTAGACGCATCATAGGGATTCATAGAAATTTTGGTTCATAAACTTGCAAATACTTAATATATTTGTAATACCCCAATGAGTAGAAAGATTAGGTTTTCTGACGTTTCATGACTTAGTGTAAGCCGCTTCTTCAGAGAATAAATAACTAAATTAAAATTAATCCAAGTTTAAATAGTACAACGGAACAACAAGAATATTATGTAATCAATCAAAATACAGGTCTGAACAAATCAATGTCATGTCATTTCGGTCAAGGTTAAACTTCTGAGGAGTCTCAAAATAGGACGAAACGGCCGTCCAGTGCTTCCAGGTTTTCCATTGTGGTCTAGCTTCAACTGACTCATGATCTTAACCATTGAAATAATTATCAAATCATAGGAAGTATTGTGTTAGAATGAAGATTTATATTACCAAATACCAATGTATTTTATCATAATTATAAATTACTTATCCTATAAAAAATAACTTTCGAGAATAATTATGAAGGTCACAAAACAGCCAATGTGTTGGGGTTTGTACCCATCATACAAAAAATTCGACCGTATTACTAGCTCAACAAGAAACGTCCTCTTCAGCTACAATTCGTTATCATCTCAATGCATATACAGATCGAAGCAATACTAACAACATGGCCAAACTAGTACTGTACAGCAAGTAAATTGTCAGTTAGTTTGCATGATTCTCAAGAACTCACATATGATAAAACCATGAGTGAAATTTGTCAGTTTATTTCACTCATTGAATTCCTCAGCATTCAAATACTGATGTCTTTTATTCAACCCCGGATTCTATTACATACTTGAAAATATTGAAAGAAGTTGGACTTAGTGGTTTATTTCCTAACTTTGTAGGAATAGCGGCTTCGAATTACTAGTTTAATAAGTGGAATTACTTAATTGAGTAAGAGAATAAAGACTCCATTTACAAACAGCTCGGTTCTTAGTCACTTTAATGTATCAAGAAGGTTAGGAGAATCAATCTTAATATTATAGTTCTAAGTTTGGTAGTAATTCACTGCTGAACTAGAATTCAAAAATAAACACTTAACGATCACTAGTTCTTGAGATGTTCGAATAAATGTGTTTCAGTCATTCCTTCATCTCTCACGTTTTGAAACACATATACTTGGCCGATATAGAATAGACAACCTTTAGATTTGAATACAAAATTATATGGGAAATTATCTTTAAAAGCAATTCATTTAAATTTGTATTTGTATAGAGAGTTGTGAATAGTTGATAACTGGAGTGATACCAATAAAGCGGATTTTACGAAGTGTTGTATGTTAACATTCTTTTCCCATTTTGTTATTAGCATACTCGTATAGGCTGCTCTGTTTACCTCCGACGTTTAGCTATATTCACTGTAATATAACCCACCCTTGTTAAACACTGGGACACATTAAAGTACAACAGTAAGATTTCGTATATCTAAGATAAAAATACTTTTCAATTGTTCATGATTTTCTAACTATTGTCTTGTCAGCTTTTGCTTGTCAATATTTTAAAAAGAATGAGGAATGATACATAAGTTCAGAGATCCCCTCTGTTTGTTCTTTGTGTTGATATAAAATGGGGTCATTTTAAAACTACTAACAATTGTAAGAAGACAGAAGCACTTTCTATTGAATTATTAATGCAATTAGATAAGATATTGAGAATAAAGATAGTACGTTGGTATTTTCACTTTAATTTTTCATGTGTCAATTATACGCAGAACTATTAAAAGTATTATAGTAATATGCCTTACAAAATATTTTAATGATGTTTTTTATCTTTTTCTTAAATAAAATAATATCCAGTTATCTATTGGGGAAATCCGGTTTTGAATATATGGATCCATTCATTCCTGTTCACGTTGAAAATTACACCCCAACAGAAATTAATGCCTTATTAAGATTTTATGCAGAGAATAATTGGCTTACAAATCCCGCCGCTTTTACACCAAACGGACAAGCTGAATTAATATTTTTGTCTGATTACAATCCTCTGGAACTTAGCCGTTTAGCTGCTGAATGGTAGACTAATTGTATCCTTAGAATATTAACTGAGTTGAAAATTATTAACCTATTGTCTGTATATTTAAAAGACTAAATAACAGTAATCTCTGTCCTCTTTTAAATTGGATATTGTAAATATCAGTGAAATAATCCTTTAAATCTTTTGTACAGTTTCAGCTTTCTGATATTTAGTAAAAAAATAAAGTATTTTGATGCGACATATTTGTTCTCATTGTATTCGTTTATTCAGCTAAATAAAAATTGACATTAATTTTTTTTATTGACTAAATAAATTCTTTTCACATGCAGTTTAGGTAATCCAAGAAATTCTTGCGAATTTCCAGTCGGTATTAATTTTAGTTACCTACTTTCTATGTTTTCCATGCAATTCCAGGAATGCGTGTCTCTGCTGTGTGGTTGTTAGCGTTAACCTGATTCTATTTATGTTTGCAACCTAATGCTCATTAATGACCGACCGGTCAAAAGCCTCAATATGATCCTGTAATCTCTGCAGTAAGCCAAGCGATAGTCCAAATTAAACCAAAACTTGAATGGGGTTAAAAATATCAACCTTTCGGTCATCCAAAACAGACTCACTTGTCTTTTTGGTAGTTTTGTTCTCTGAGCTGGATGGTTTGGTCGTGGAGCTTTCATCGTTCTTCCGAACGACATCATCAGTGTTCGAATTTCTCCATATGCGTTTCACAGCTTGTTCTGTACACCTCGATGTTGATTGGTTCTTACTAACCTTAAATTTGTCATCGTTTACTTCTTTGTTTTGCTTGTGTCTCCCATTGGTTTGATTTTCGTCCCTATATTTGTGCATAATTTTCCTGATTGGTTGATAAATTGGATCGATTTCAGTGTGTTTGTTGATTGCGGATTGACCTGAGTGCCAGGCTCCTAAAAGTTCCCTGGTGTTTCTGGAATTTCCTCTGTCTGAGACTTCCACATTTTTCCAATCAAATGAGTGTCAGCAGTTCTCCACATGTATTGATATAGGTGAGGAAGTATCATGGCGTTTGACTGCTAATTGATGTTCATGTAGGCGAAGGTGAAGGGGGCGTCCGCTTTGTCCGATGTAGTGTTTTTCGCCTTTTCTTCGTTGAAAAATGTTATAAAAGCAAGTACCCACAGGAATTCTGAGAATACAACAAAACGGCTAAACACCGCTCTCAAACTTTGATAGGCAAATATTTTAAAAAAGATAAATGCCATTTTGTTAAGCCATATTTTTTATAGTACTTTCGCTTCATGGTGAAAGGTTTTGTACAAATTTTGATCTCCTCTGTTATTATTATTACTACTATCAGCTTTATTCAATATTATATTTTTGGTACAATATAGAATTCTCAGCGCAAAGTATTTCAACAAGTTTCCGTTTTTTTCTTCTTGGTTGGTCTTGGCGATAAATATTGAGTGGTCGCCAGTTAGATGTTAGCAATTCAGTAAATGAACATCTGAATAATGTGCATTCTTTTCGTTGTATCTTGCCAGCAACCACATTGTCTCTTATTGAGTTTTTTTGTAACTTTGATAACGAAAGGTTGTACACTTTTCAGAAACGCAGCAGAATAGGTTATGCGATTAATAAGCATAATGATATATTAAAACAAACAAAAATAGATAACTTGTTGAAATATCTAGATGGCAGGAACAGGTAGCCCAGATGCTCAAGCAAGCCGCCCTTTATACCATCTAAAACTAGCAACTTATTTTTATACTGGTAGTGACTAGAGTAAGAAATTATTATTGTATTGGGTGAATAAAGCAAATTGCTATGGTTTATTTCTAAATTCACATAAATCTGATTGTTATACGTCCATTTATCTCCTTCTAAAATGCAAATATTCTACTTATTTGAAGTTACGAAGTAACACAATATATGATAAAAAAATTGTTTCAATAGATTTCACGTTTTTAAACCTCCTGAGCTCTCTCAGATTAACCACCTATTTATCGTATGGTTTTATTATGTCTAAATCTATGCACAACCTTGAGTGATTACCAGTCGATCTAACTTGTACTGTCAGGTGAATAAACAGAAGACATCATTTTCAGTAATCAAGTGTTACTCCAACAAAAGTACGTCTTTATTGCCTTTTTAGTGGAAAGTTTAATTGTCACTTTAACAATAATATATGTGTAAATTAAAGAAAAAGTCTTAGAAAACTGTTATAGCTGAAATCAGCGCTCGCAATGAATCAAAGACGAATTGAGGATAAATCATATTGTAGAGAACGAAAATTCAGATGGGAGAAGCCAACTTATTGTTTGATGCAAAATCACACAGTGGTTTGGCAAAATATGAAAATCTTACATTAAATACATCATTTGCACATTTTCCTTTCGTTGTCCTTTACACCATTATTTCTTTAATTCTGTTGTGATCCCGATTTCCTTCCTCTTCTCTTCATTTGAATCTTTTACTGGTAGTCGTTCTACTTTCAATTGCTGCTGCACACTACTTATATCTGTCAGCGTAAGTAGCACACACCACAATATCACATCAGATTAAATTTGTATACTACCAACGTATCGTAAGATGTATGGGTACATTTTAGATAACTTTATGTCATATATAGTTTTATTATATGGTAATAATTCTCGCTTCTACAGCTTACACTGGCATTCATCATCTAAAACTATAGCTTTTACTAAAGCATAAGACTGTTAATAACTACAGTGGTACCCAAGTCTTTGAATCTGTATCTAGATGCGTAAGTAGTCACAGGCATCTCAGACCAGAACAAAATGTCAATTCTTGGAGTCAGTCACCTTTCATAATATAAACTTATAAAGTTCTGCAAGAATGTAAATTTACCTAAAATCCAGTTGCAAACTTGATTGTACAATTTTTCGGAAATATTTAATGAAGTTCAGAATACTGATCTCAAATTCCAAAAAATCAAAAAGTAGTTATTAATAAATTTAACTGTTGGTTCATAGGTCTATGGAAGTTTTAACTAGTGTTAGGTATTCAGGAGTAGTTTGACTTAGTTTGCATTCCATGATCACTGGAGGTATTTAAAGGTATGGTGGGATTTCACTTTATGCATTCACTCTCGCTGTAGTACATAGGTCTGTTTAACTGTCTTCTAGTAGGCGCAAAATCTGTTGTGTGAATCTCAGGACAGTCAATTTTTTCATCCGTGATTCGAGAGTGAACTAGTGTTTTGACACCGTGTTTGTGATGGGCAGTTATTGTAATACATTGGTCTTTCCGGGATTTTAGATCGACTATTTATCCCTCTGACTAACCGCAACTAGAGCCTTAATGATATTTTAAAAGATTCAGCATTTATTAAACTGTACTGTAAGTGTTATTATCGAAATGTGTGTCTCTTGTCTTTTAGTTACCTTTATTACTGTGAGTTATCTACGAATTTTCAGAAGAATAGTTATTAAAATGCATGACAATATTGTTGGACACTAATCGCATTAAAGTACTCGGTAACTTCAGTCATCCGTGTACAATGGATATGCTCCTGACGAAATTATATGTGTAAACTTCATGTTAATATTTCACATACCACTGATAGTAATTATAGGTCATCATGCTTGAAGAACGTGGAGTTTTTGGTTGCATATTCATGCTAAGTGGTCATTATAAGTATTGAAACTAAATTAGGAATATTACCAATAGATCAGTCATTAATAATGACATGATTAATAAATATACTCAGCATAGTGCTCTAAGGTTGATCTAATGAATAGTAAAGCTATGCTACCGAAATGACCTCTAATGCTTAATTCACTAACTTTATAATACACTGCTGTTTTCGTGTAACAATAGATGAGACGAGTCGAATGAGCCAAATTAGTTGTCATGAATTAATATTTAAAAATCTGATTAGTTCACATTATAAAAAAATAGTTTATAAGACTTATTTTATTCTTATACATACCGAATGATACTTCTTGTGAGAATTTCTAATCTTTTTCTGTTGCAACTAGATTTTAATGGGTAGTTTTTATTAATCCTTTGTTTTACAACGGGTGTTGTTTTCTGCTTATTCTTTGATTGCATACCTCATGAACTGAAACTGGTTTGATCTATTCCTATCAAAGTTCATCTCATTGATTATATATTTGTCTTTACTATTGGCCATTTGTTGCATGAAAGTATGTGATGATGTTTTGAAGTTCAAAGTTACAAGTGTTGTACACATCGTACTGTCATGTATAACAATAAATGTCAGGGTGGTCATTAGTTTTTACTTAGGGTTACGTCAACAACTTGTTTGTCTGAATTTTATTCTTCTTTGGAATACAAGTTATGATGCCGATTTCAGAAAACGATTTTCCGTGCAGTTTCCACCACAATTTTTTTCTTTGACGGTTTACATGTATATTGGCTATAAAAAGGTATTTCTTTGTTTTAAAAAAGATCTCCGTAACTAGTTATCTGGTTATAATGATAATGATATGTGATCTAAATAATAATAAATTGTACAGCCGTGATGAATCAAATTTATTGTAACAGGAGGCTTGTGGGGGTCGAGACCATAATTTATGGACGACCCAATCAGATATAAGATAACAGGTTCTGGATTTTAGTTCGAAATTCATCCACTCATTTGGCTAAATACTATTTCAGCAGTATGGATGATGTTATTTCGTGCTGAAAACACTAAATCTAATTCCTAACTCTAACCATCAACTGTAAATCATAATTCTAATTCCTTACACTTTTATAACCCTCATTTAGTCCTAGTCAATAGGTTGACATTTTCAGGGTCATTTCGTCGTCACCTCAAGGTCCTCCATAAATGTTGATTCATTCGATTTACCTTATTTATACTCCAATCCTTATTCATAATCACTAATTTTTATTCTCATCCATTTTGGAGTTTTCTTAAATAAAAATGTGTTATAGTATCAAGTGGAATTTGAAGAATGTTATTTTTCACATTTTATTTCTATATTTTCAATACACTCATCATTAACTGTAGCATATTTAAGCGATGGAATAGTAGCTAAAGAGCTCTATTTTGGCTCTCAAGTTATACTCCACTCGTGTTTAAATATCTCGGTAGCATCACCGCATCTCACATATAAGGTGTAATCAAACGTCGAGTATACGAGTTTTAATTCAATACCATACTTTACGTACGAACAAATATATAAACATTTCTTTCGTTGATTTCCATCTGATTCTATTTTAGATATCGATTTGCAAAATTTTAAGGTTTCAAAGCTCTTTTATCCGATTCAATAATTCAACTGAATTTTCAAAATCAGTAATCAGATGTCAAAAATCTCAAATGAATTCTGAATCATTTCAGGAGTGTCGTAAACAAGCCATTGAAAAACTTCACAAATGGTTAATTCATAGTCAGCTTCCATTGAAATTTGCTGCAGCAGATACAAAAGATCCAAGTTGCAATTACGATTATACTAGTTATGATCCGTCCACTTGGCTACCTTTGGTTCATTACAAACAAACAACATATTCACAACTTGATGAAATGGCTATTAACGCCTGTAAAGCACAAAAACAATGGATTGATTTACCATTACTAGAACGTGCCAAAGTGAGTCATATTTCTTCGCTAAGTATTCTTTTCATTAGTTTTAATGAAATCAAAGAATTATTATAGTTGGGTCCTACGAAGTCCGAAGTTATCCATGATCAAGGGACCAAGTAATAATTTCTTTCCAAAACAATACTAAGTCCACTACTCACTAAACTATAGTTTAAACGAAATATTTTGCTGTGATATGAGAATAATCAAACTCAGACCCCCCAGTCTCATGCGCTTACACTGAACTTATAGGCCACGGCGTCAGCATCAACTTAGGTGTCTAACTTCAATCAATACGCAACATTTCACGACTATCTTCCATTGTCTTTGATAAGTAACTGCCTCACACCCGACAGGGTTTAGCTCCACTACTGACAGCTTCTCACTAGAACTCAAGAAATTTCTCGAATCTAATCACTAGCGCTTTCGAGTTTTCAATAATGGTCTAACTTAAACCGGTTCATGATTTAAGTGAAATTCAATAATCTCCTTGATGCCATACTGACAAAATATTTCTGTTTTCCCTTATCCTGTATTTTCACAAAGAATGACTGGTAGAATATAACGGTGGATTCTGATTTGAACAACGGGAACTGAGAAAAAGATTTCGCTATAGTACACGTATTGTGTTCTGTTTCACAATGTAATATGGATCACGGAACTGTACTTGGAACTTTGAATGAATGAATCTTTCGGTGAAAGTGATTCAAGATGGCTTTTTCACAAACAGACATATTTCCTATTTCTTACTCATAATCTAATTATCCGATATATATATATATATATATATATATATATATATATATATATATATATATATCGCGAACAGTAAATAATGCTCCTTGTTTGGAGTGAAAGAAAGCTACGAGATAGAATAAAAACCTGTAGCCTAAAGAACTTATTCAATAATTAAACGACCATTTGTTAATATTCCAATACTAACAATCATCAACTCTGCTGGGAGCATTTTAACATGCTAGTTTCGTCATACGCTACAATTTTATCCTGCATTATTTAATATCAAAAGATTGATTATTAGGTCCATGATTATTGTTTAGTTTCGCTACTGTACTTTATTAATAGGGCCCTCCAAAGGTTATTAGTAATCTGTGTAAAAGTAGTGAATAATGACTCTAATCATTGTCATCACCTTTTAAACTTTCCCTAGAATTAATACATTTCTAACATACCACTCTAGAACCTAAAATTAGCCAACTATATGTTCTGTTTTATGATATATCTTACTGCTCGTTTGAATTAGTTTTCATTATTTCACAATCCATTAAGCAATGCTATTTACCATTCTTTAATGAAATTTCAGATTCTTAGAAAAGTTGGTGATCTTGTTCGTGCTGAAACAAATTGGCTTGCTGAATTAGAGACACTAGATACTGGAAAGCCACTGTGGGAAGCTCGTGCAGACATTGAGGCCTGTGCAGATTCATTTGAGCTGTTCGCTGGTTTTATCCCAAGTTTTGTTGGAACTCATTCTCCTGTCCCACCAAATCCTGGCAGGTAATTTAAAATTGTTTATATTCTAGATTATTAGCCTTTTTGTTTGATGTGAGGATCAAAAATATGATTTTGGGGGACTATACAAGAGTTTGATGGCCCAAGTTGCCAATGTTTATTTTCGACCTAATAAAAGAAATTAACGGTAAAAGACCCGTAGAAATAATCATTTCAAAACGTAGTATTTATGGGCATAGTAAATACCTCTACACTGGATTCATTTTTGGAATAAATGGCTTGATTTTTACATTAGATATATCTTTGCTTAAACTGATAACCTACTTCATTTCAACAGGATTTATTTACTGTGTATATTAATTCTCTGCAATCACGTGTTAGCCAAGTATTTCTACTTGACTAATTGACCAACAAAAAACACCATATTAACTACTCAGATTTATTTCGAAATCAACTCCAATCACATATGGGGATTAATTAGTTCAGTATAAAAAATCAACTACAGTTTACTGAATAGATTTTGTAGGTGGACATTTTCAAAGTCATTTCGGCGCCACTCAAAAATCGTACAGAAATTATAGTCTCACCGGACAATCTCACTTTTGTTACATTTTGTTTTATCCAACAGTTTCCAGGCTGCATATATTTGCTAGGTTCTACATTGCTTATGATCGATTGACTAAGCTACTGCCGACTTCCCATTGAATTCATTAGAAACCTTCAATTCTACGTGTTTAAGTTTCAATACGATAATTTAAGATCATCTCTCTCTCTTTCCTTTTATGACGATTTAAATGTGAGATGTTCTATTTTTCGTTTTACTTTCTTTTTTTTATAGTTTTTATTATACTAGAAGAGAACCATTTGGACTTTGTGCCGGTATTGGAGCTTGGAATTTTCCTTTTCAAGTAATTACTATTATTTATGATTTGATATTTCTTGGTGTGTACTGTTTGTCTTTCTTATAATTTGATTGACAATTACCAAAGCATTATCGTATATGATTATCTCTAAAAATTTTAAATAAAGGCTTTTACTTCTATGCTATTGCAATTCCAATTACCTTTTGAACAATTAATGCACTTGAAACTGTGCAAAACTTTCAATAGTTGTTAAACCGATGTAGAATTTACCATTTTCCAATATGGACTAGTTTAATTTGTAATGTTTATATCATAAAAATGTATTTTTACGTTGGAAACAATCTCGGCATATTTTTACATAGAAAAAATATTTATTAATGAATATTATATAATACAACTACATGTTTACTAGATCCTGGAATACCATTTTGTATATGCTTAAATGTTTATTGTTTCTCTCATACAGAAAATCCATAGTAATAATGATAATAATCATTCATGATCTGTGATATGTAGTATGCACATAGTTTAATTTTTGTCTGAATTTTCAAGCGCGATCATACATATCACTCTAATATTTAGCTGTTGTACACTTAATACTGTGTACAGATTTATCAGCAAGTAAATTCATCTGAGGAAACTCATCTATGTACACCATGTATTTAATGACTTCAGTTTAAGCGAAATCGAGGATAATTTTTGTCAAAAGTTGTCAGTCTTAGTTTAAAAAGGACAGTGGTTCGCCACAGTTTTTTGTTTGAATTAAGTAGTGACCAGATACGATTATGAATAAGAGCGTAAAGTCAAGATTGCTAACAGTTTTCACAATTGCAGTGAGTAATTATGGCTTTTGAAATCGATTGAAAGAGGATGATAAGTACCAGAAATGGTAACTTCAATTTATGGTTGTTAACAAGACCTTGAATAAATTTCGCAAAATTTCCTTTAAACGTTTTTAATAAAAAAAGTTATTCACTGCGTTATGAATTGCAAGTCATTAGCCAGGAGTGCATTTTCACCGCGGCTCACTTCTTATCATATCATTATATTCAAATCATTCTACCGTCTAATTACACAGTTATTGGAAAATAGACAAGTTTTTGTTATAAGCATGAATCTAAGGAGCACGAAACAAATGTTTAGGATATAACCAATGTTTAGAAAGTATCATTCTTAGTGTTGATTAGATTTTAATTAATCATTCAAACGTTTTAGTCTAATGGCCTATTATTAACCAGTTTGTAGAACTATTTTTCACAGCTGGTTTCTACTGGGAACTGTTATTGAGAAATCGACCTTAATATTTATTCATTTATTTATTTGGATATATTGATGATTTGAAACGTTTATACCTAGTTTTTTTATTTGAATTTAAGATGGCTGTATGGAAATCCGTTCCTGCGTTGGCCGCTGGAAATTCCTTTATATTTAAACCATCTCCTTTAACTCCATTGACAGCTATTCGTTTACACGAATTGTATAAACTTGCTGGATGTCCTGAAAATCTTTACCAGGTTGTTCTAGGAGGTGTTGAAATTGGTCAAGCATTAGTAAATCATGCTTTAGTTAGAAAAGTATCATTTACAGGTTAAGTTATGTCTTTTTTTCTGACATTCAAATATACACTGTGCTCATAAATTTATTTTATTGTAAGAAAATTGTACTAGTGTTATACTTATTCAATCTTCAGTGTTATACTAATGATTGCAGTCTCACATAAGGATCATTTTCGCAAAATAAGAAAAAGTTTGAATATTTATGTATCTTAAATTTGTTTTCTATTTATTAAAATTAGTTAACGTTAAGTGTTTGCCTTCAATTCAAACTACTTCCATTAAATATTACATCATCAAATAAGTAATTTGTTGAAATTGTATTTCTGGAAGATTCACGGTGGTATATCTGATTTCACTTTCAGATGATAAATGATAAGTTTTTATAAAATTTTAATCTTTTATTACTTAAACGTTAAATGTGGTACATTTACGCTAAACGGAATTATCTTTCGTATGAATTGATTCTGTTATTTGTTGTAATAAGTACCAATCTATTTGATCGGCTGTTAGTTCAAAGGTAATGATTACTTTTAATGTATAAATTGTCTTTACTATGGGATAATGTTCGCTTCAGATTTTCTGACAATCACCGTTTTGAATGCGGGGGTTTAACATCCCATATATATATATATATATATATATATATACATATAAACTAAAAAACCGGGATTTAATTGACTTAATATTGGTTTATTTAGTGTCTGACACACTAAATTTTATTTCACAGTTCTAAACAGTTGAGAGCGTTATATTATATATTATCTTTGGTATTTTCAGGAAGTGTTGCAGGAGGTCGATCTGTGCTTCAATGCGCTGCTGAACGGATTGTACCAAGTACACTTGAACTAGGCGGAAAATCCCCATTGATTATTATGTCAGATGCTAATTTAGATGAAGCTGTTAAAGGCACTTTGATGGCTAATTTTTATACTCAAGGACAAGTATGTTCTAATGCTGCTCGTGTATTTGTTCATAGGTAAATAGATTAAGATAATAAAGCGTTTTTTTCTGAATGTAAAAATGATCATTAACTAGTTTTCAATATTTAGTTTCACTATAGTTTTGCTCCTTTACATGAATATCTCATATTCTTATTGACGGAGAAACATTTTGAGCTAAAACTTTTAAAGATCAACTAACTTACACAGTTATTCTTGTCAGACAACTTTTGTACACTAATCATTCATTTATTTTATTATGTATTTGTTACATCGGTGAATTATATGCTAAAGTGGATGTAGGGTATATTCCTCAGTAGGTGGTAAATAATTCCATTAATAATAATAAATTGTTATCAGTATGGGAACTTGTGGAGGTTACAGTATTTTCACGGTTGAATTCACAAGTCAATCTAAGCTAGATTACCATTGAAAACCTGGAAGCACTGGACGGCCATTTCGCACTAGTATGGGACTCCTAAGCACTGCACATCCACAATCCTGTACGCGCGACTCAAACAACCTACACAATTCCACATACTGATAATAATCACGTGCTCACTAGTGACTACCTTCAATATGGAACTCCTGGAGTTCTAGTTAGAAGCCGGGACCGTTGGAGTCCAGTCCGTGTCGGGTGTAAAACAGTTATCCACCTCAGACAATTGATAAAGGGTTGCACAAAAACGTGAATCGATCGAAGTTAGACCTTAACACCATTGGTCTAGATGCTAAGCGCTCACGCGTGAGACCAAAGATTCTGGGTCCGAGTCCAACGTGCGGGATGGTGGATGTAGGAAGTAATTTCCTACAGGTGTAATTCTAAGCTATTCTCTAGACTGTCGAGCACAATTTTGGTTTAGCCAAAGTTAGAACAAGTAAGCTATTCGGCTTGAAAAACTTTATATGTTTCTAATACGTAAATCAGCACCGTAAGTATATAAAATAAACAATACAGTCTATTAAACAGGGAAAAGGAGAGACATAAATAACGTACCGAACAGTAACTAGAGGATAGGGAAAATGTGTCAACAGAGCGAATGTTGTTTTATAATGAACATAAAATTGTGACTGGTGAAGAAACAATGCACTACAATACAAGATTAAAAAAGTTAATGAAGTTGTGGGCGCTTCACTTTATTATTGGTAGGTTCGTTTATCGATCACACTTTACAGTGAGTGCACAATGCTGAGGAATCCCATACTAGGACGAAACGGCCGTCCAGCTCTTCCAGGTTTTCAATGGTGATCTGGCCTAGATCGACTTGTGAATTCAACAATGAAAATAATTTATTATTTAATTAAGACCAAATCAAAACGAAAAACTTTGTGACAATATTTATAAACACTTAGAAACTAGGTAGATAATCCAATGATCTATATAGATTAATTTCAATTTATAGAAATCAATCCCTCTACTTATCTCTTTTTTATTTTAAAACATATCAGATCTATTGTGGCATCATTCACTCAAAAACTTATTGAATCAGTTAAGCAAATTTTAGTCGGTGATCCTTTCAATCCAAAAGTCTCCATGGGTGCTTTAATTTCTCCTGAACATCGGCAAAAGGTACATAATTATATAAAATCAGCCATTTCTGAAGGAGCCACCTTATTGTATGGTGGTGAAAAGCTAAAATTTAAAGTCAGTAATTTAAATAGTGATAATTTTATTACTCCATGTATCTTGACTAACTGTCATGATAACATGAAAGTTGTGAAAGAAGAAATATTTGGTCCAGTTATTACTTTATTAGAGTTTGATACAGAAGAAGAAGTTGTCCGACGTTCAAATGATAGGTTTGTCTTTTTTTCTAATGTTAAATAGTCAACTGTTTTAAAACTCTCTTCCCAGTTGTAATGTTTTGCAGCTAATCAATATCATTCATAATAACCAAAAGCTATACAATTAGTTGGTAGAAAGAAAGATATGAAGCGATTTTAATCTCTTAGTTTGAGGGAAGACAGAGAGTGTATACACCAACGCCACTGTGACCGATTCTGAGCCATGTCACCAAGAGTCTCCAACCATTGGTTACGATAGTCACGCGGACCCCAACCAACTAGTCTGCATCTACCAACATGGCTCAGACTAGAAGTTAGTGACTTTAAGCACTGATACCACGTTTTGGTTTGGCCGCCCCTAACTTTCTTCCAACCATTACCCAACACCGGTTAGCATTGCACGTCATGGTAATCGGTGTTCGAGCATACGTACCACGTGGCCCAACCATCTCAGTCGATGAAGATTCACAACCTCATCAACTGATTTACCATCATTCCCTAATACCCTGCGTCTAACCTTACTATTACTTACCCGGTGATCCCAGCAGACGCCAGCAATATTTCTAAGGCATCTGTGGTCAAATACTAGTAGCTTATGAGTGTCTTCTACTCTTAATGGCCATGTTTCGCTGCCGTAAATTAAAACAGAACGGACTGCCGCGCAGTATACTCGACCTTTTATTGATAGACGGATATCTCGACTTCGTCATAGGTGACGTAAGTTGGCAAAAACCAAGCGAGATTATCGAATCCGTGCAAAGATGTTGTCAGACACCAACACATTAGGGCTGATCAGACTTCCAACATAAGTGAAGTTGTCAGCGCGTTTGACTACTTCACTCCCTATCCTTAGTTCAGGTGTTGACGCAGATCAGTCCTGAAGCGACAACTTGCATTTAGAGGGAGAGAAGCGCATTCCAAACATCCTGGCATTGTTGCTTAGTGCTACAAAAGACTCTGCATTCTATCAGCGCCTTCACCAAACAGGACTATATCATCCGCGTATTCTAAGTCGATAAGTGGACCTCCTGGAAGGAGATCAATACCCGAGAATTCAGTCGACGAGAGTGTTATTTCCATCAGTAGGCCTATGATGAAGTTAAATAAAAATGGAGAAAGTGGATAGCCTTGACGGTCACACTTGAGGTTACAAAAGCAAATGACAATTCGCCATAAGCTCTCACTTGACTAGCAGTGTTCGAGTAAAGAGCCTTCACATGGTTTATGTACTTCTGAGGTACGCTTTTCAACGACAGACACTGCCGATAAGTATCCCTGTGTTCTAGAAACTGACGAATGGTGAATATGTGGTCGATGCAGCCACGACCACGTCTGAAGCCAACTTGATTTCCTCGTGTTCGCAGTTCACGTGTCTTAGTTAGGCGTCTGATAATTATCGAGGCTAGTATTTTAGATACTATATTAGTTAAACTAATCCCTCTATGGTTGTCACAGGATGATTTTAACCCTCTCTTATATATTGAGACGATCAGTGATTGTGACCACTCAGATGGGATTACATTCAATTCCCAGATTTGAGCTAAAACATTAGTCAACCTGATCGCTAAAATTTGACCACCATACTTCAAGACATCTGGAGCCAATCCATCACTACCAGTTGCTCTTCCTCGTTTCAGATTAACTATAGCCTTCTGGACTTCTGCTAGAATTGGGGGACCTACTTCAATGTTCCATTCACACTGTCTGGGAATGGAGGGTAATTGTAGAGTAGCTGAAGGCCAACTGAACTGTTTTCGAAAATGTTCCACCCATTGTTCTAAACGTCTGGACTGAGAGCAGATGAGGGTGTCGTCTTTTTCCGAGATAGTCTCACCTACACATGACTTATTAATTCCAGTTTCTTTTATTAGTCTGTAGAGCTGTCTTGTGTTCCCTATAGCCGCCGCCTTTTCCATCTCTTTTGCTTTCGTTGGCCACCACTGATCACGGTCGTTCCTTAAACTTTTGTTTAACATAGATCTGATCTGTTGTCGCTCTTCATCGTGTTCAAAGCCTGATGGAATGAGTTTACAAGAATTCATCAGTGCAATAGACTTAGAAGAAATCCATTGGTTCTTTGTAACTCTTTGGTCTTAATCACTAACAGATGTCACTGCCGTTTGTATATCTTTCCAAGCAACACCTAGGTCAGCCTCGTTTTCAACAACGGTCGGGTTTATCAGTAACTAAGTTAAATACTTGAAACTTCTTGGCGGATTTCTAGACTCATGAAGTCTTTTTACACTTAAATACTGAAAATATAAACGAAATGTTATTGACAAAATCGGATTATGTGCGTAAATCAACGCTGTCCTATCGAAAACACCTTTACTATTGATGTGCTTTAAAAGTCAATATCTCGTTTTGAAACTGTTTGCCTGTCATGAAAAAGAACAATTTTACTGCTATTTCAAAAGAATTAAACTTCATAAGTTTGATTATGAGTTGGTTTGTGACCATGCACCACTAAGGAATGTGAAACCCAAAAACAGCTTTCGTTGGTGTTGTGTTTCCTAGGCTGAATGGTCTGTTTGCAGAGCTTTCATTGGCATTCTAAACAGCATCTTTACCTCTTACTTGGTAAAAAAGAATGTCTACCTGAGCTGTAAATCTTCGCCATCATTTCAAAATGAACCACTCATTCAGTGTTTATTGGTTTTAATTGGTCCTCCAGCTAGGTGTCAATTCTCTGTAAAATACATGATTTATTTAAACATATCTAGAGCAGTTTTTAATTGTTATTTTCATTGATAAAGAAATATTCATCCGTTTAACTGTAATACAATATTTTTATCTGTATTGCTATGGTAACCTGTATCTATGTAGATTAATGGAAATCTATTGCTCTTTAGAGAAAGAAAGAAGTTTGAGTAGTGTTTTGTTGGCTCTTTATTCAGTGAATTCAAAAATATATGACTAAATGATTTTCATTTTCTTCGTAACTCAAGTGAATTCGGTCTTGCTGGAGGAGTGTTTACACAAAATTTAGCGACTGCCCATCGTATAGCCTCACAACTACAATGTGGTTCTATATACATTAACAGTTACAATGTTTACCCACCTGGTATTCCATTTGGAGGTTATAAACTATCTGGGTTCGGTCGAGAAAATTCAGTTGACACTTTAATGGCTTACAGTCAGTTGAAGTCAATTTACGTAGAAGGTGGATCACTTCCCTATCCGTTCCCTGAATGATTCTAATCAATGATTGTTTAGTGATTGGTTCAATCATTAAAGTTGATTTTAATAACTAATCAATGATAAAACCTAAATCCCCTTGATTTCAATGATAAATAATATGATCTCTCTGATTTAACTAACATTCCATATTTTGTTTAATCATAAGTTCAAAATAAATTCTTAATTATTTCGTCCGGTTTTTTGTTGTCCTCACTGTCAAACTATCCAAATTTCGGTGTGTAGCTGGTCGTAAAAGAATGTAGATTTAAACTTCATATATCCCGTAAACTATTGACAGATTTTGTATGTAATCTTGAAGAAATACGTATTCTTATGGAAACAGGATCGTATATGCTTTACTTTAGCCATATCCGCGAAAGGATTAGGTACACTTTGGATATCATTTCAAGTTCATATAAGACGCTATCTGGAAATTCAGTACACCTACGTTTTTTAACAAAATTACTGAATAGATTTTGTTTGTTATTAATTTATAAAGATTGGGTTAATGAGAACACTTTCTGCCATAAAATATAATCAGCTAGAGAACTGTCGAGAAGAATGCATTGCAAACAGTTTCGTCTTAAGCTGTCATAATTGTACGTCTTAGGAACCAATGTTCTTCAACAGGCAACGAATAATAAAATGCTTGTTAGACGCTAAGTGCCATTTAGTCTTATTGCGTTTATATTACACTTCGTACGTAAAAACTTTGGATATCAAATACATTCCTTCGTTTACATAATACAGCTTATACACATAATGTTAGTGACCAGGAGACAAGTGAATAAAATTAAAAATTGTTTATAGATTATGTACAATAAAATTGAGGGACATGATCACTCTATTTGTGCCTTCAAATAGCCTGAATATCATGACTTCGCTAAATAACGTCGGGTGATGAATAAAATGGTTTATACATTTTGAACAGACTATTTATTGCTAATAAAAAGATTTTATTAGAACCATTAGGAGATCGCTTTACACAGCCTACGTCGTGTTGAAAACAACAAGTTAGAAAATGAATTTTCGTAAATCACTTCATAATACCAAGTTCGGATAATATAAACATGAATGTAATTAGTAAAAGTGTACTTATCATAATTGTCAAAGCATATATATCCCACGACAATATTTGTTGACATACTATTACTAACTTCACAGTAGAGTGAAGCTGCTCGTTTATGATTTGGCTAAAATTTGGTAATCCGAGCTGATCGCCAGTAAATGTCAAGTCCACCTACAAAAGTCAATTAGATCTACTCCATGAATATCTCCAAATATGCAACCTATAATGCGGATTTGTCTCATAAGTTTTGCATAGTAATTTTCGAGTTACGGTTAGGTGTAATAGATATTCAGATTTATAAACTACAATAGACTGAGCAACGTTTATAACTGTAATCCAATGGTTGAAAGTTGAGTGACTGTACAACTAGGCGACAGCCGAAATTCATAAACGAATGTGAATCACCGAATGTTTAAAATCTTGATTATAATCTACCCGTTATATCAGTTAAATAGCAACTCAATACGCCGCTTTTTTACAATTATGAGTAACGCTACACTTATTAATAACAGAATTTGTATTATGCTGATACATAACGTGTTTGTATTCTTAACTTTAAGTTATGCTTGTCTGAAAAATGAAATAGCAAGCTCTATATATAAAATAACCACACTGGATGAAATAGGTCTTTGAATCTGCTGTCATATAACAAGTAATAATTATCAATATCGTACGAAATACGATGACACGCTACTTTATGCTAGAAATTTTCATGAGTTTTAATTGTAATCAGCTTAGTCAGTTACAACGTAGGACCAGGCACATATATGCATCGGTCCAAGTTACCACAAATCATTAGCACAACAAGATGAACACCGGATTCATAGAAGTAGTTAGTTCAGTGGTGGTAATATATAAAAGAAAGGTTGCATATAAGGACATAGTACGGGAAGAAAGAATTAGTTCGTAGAAAGAAAGAAAGGGAAGACAGAGTGTGTACACCGACGCCATTGTGTTTGATTCTGGTCCATGTCACCAAGAGTCTCCAACCACTGGTTACGATAGTCATGCGGACCCAAACCACGTAGTCTGCACCTTCCAACATGGCTAAGACCGTTGTTGCCACACTGACGTGGTGGTCGGGCTTGCCTATCGTGATGAAGCAACGAGCTATACTGGCTGGAACAATCGTTCTTAAAAGTCCTGCCATGCCAGAGAGGTCGGTTGAAGAGCGGTAAGACTAAAAGCAATAAACCCAAGGTCCGAAGGCGAAGTCGTACTGCTGACTGTACAGAGGCGTGGCAGCAGTAAGGTGTTTCCTTCAGACAACCAGCATGACAGCGATGCTACCTTCCCACAAGGAGGGGTGGGGTTAGAAAAGGTCGACTCTAAAAATGCACACCTCGTCTTATCACACGGACATCCGTCTCCGCCGGTAGGGTCTTAACAAGTACGAAGCTAGCACAAAAATTACTCATAAAAAGGTCGTGTGTGACTGACCTCAAGCAGTTGTCCCTTGGGCACTGCGGTCACGCTCCCAGGTCACTAAGACCACCTCTAATCCAATTTTCTTTTCAGGTACCTCCAGAAGAACCCTTCCACGGTGTGGGCAACCGGGAAGTGATAACCGCCCTCATACCTCTAACAGCACTCAAGGCCACATTGTAATCAGCTACCCCATAAATTGCTCTGGGGCTTAGAAACCTCATTCGTGATAGGGCACTTTATCAACTATCAGATGGTGCAAGTGATACATGTGGACAACAAACATCGCATTTTTATCAGACAAATATCGAATTCTAAATTATCACTAAATGAGAAGTGGATGTTGGATGACTAGCCATTGTGGTGACGTTTAATTATTGTAATCGAGCAAGTTTTTCTACCATTAGTATGTACTAAGCACAAAAACTGCATAGTACAACCAAGGATAATAAAAAAAGCAAATACTTCTCAGGTAAAAAATAAATTGTATAAAGTAAAGACTAAAAAATCCACAATATTAAGCACTACAAATTAAGTTTAACAATAAGACGATTCAGTATACGTCCATACATTGTTTAGCACCAATCTTAATAAACGTTTCCGTCAAATTTACACATAGGTACAAATTAAAACGGTTTATTACACAAATGAAAGGAGTTCTATAAAAAAAGAGGAAATATCACATAAACTGGAATAGTTTACACAATAGAGAGTTGGCGCAACGACGTTCATCAGATTAATAAAGTTTCCCCATACCTGCAAAACCGAGAGCAAAAAAGGGATGATGAGTGAACATAATAATAAATGATAAAAACATATCCTACACAATTGAATTTAACGTTGTATTAATCTAGAAAATCCACCATGGGTAAGTCACTGGGTAGATAATTGTTGAGTTTAGTGTTATAAAGTGTGGATTTTGACGACAAGAATAGATTATCTGAAATGATATATGCGGCTCAATATCCTGTTGATTTGAACGATGAAAAGAAACTGACTTGTTGATCATGAAGAGAGTCAGTGTGTTGATATTATAAGAACAAGAAAATAATGAAAATTCCTGTTATGAATAAAAAAAGATAACCATTATCTGAGTTTATTCAATTTTAATATAACTTTGAAGCAATACATTTGTATTTAGCTTCTGTAAAGCAAGGATTACAATGTTTATTGGTTGAATTCACACTGATTTATTTTCAACATGTACGAGTATCCTTCAATATTCATTGATAAGAACATAAGGCCGAAAACATAATAACTCCAGTCGAAAAGAAAAAATTATACATGAACATCAACTTTAAATGTGATAGAGTTACAAACGTCTTAAAGAGGAAAATTTCTGATTATTTAAAAAGAGCGTTCTTCGCAGCAACATTGCGATTAGTCTTCTTTTGCCGATCATTGTTCATCAATAATCTTAAGGATAAATTATCTCATCTGACCAACTCAATGTTCATTTACCAATTTATCTGCTCATGTGGAGCTAGGTATATAGGTCATTCGATGAGTAATTTATCCAAAAGAATTCAAGAACATTACTCAATAAGAAGTTTAATAATCAAACACCTTGTGAACACAGGTCACTCAGTCAAGACGGACTCTGTGTAGAAGTCTTCCAAAAGCAGTCATATTGTATCTTCTTAAAATTGCCGAAGTAATAGCCGTACATCTGGGGAAAACAGAACGGTGTGTCCAAAAGAGATTGGTACAACCTCTTCTTTTACCATGGTCTTAATGTCCCATAATTTTTTTCATACTCATCTTCCTTCACAGCCATTTGCTTTCCCTTCCATTTTCTCCTTAAACTTTTTACCCCCAACTGGTTTATTTCTGGTTTTATGATTTTCTTGATTACATTTCATCTCAATTTCAGCATTGTCTTATGATACTGAGTCATCCTTTTACAATGATGACCTTCCTATCTACCTTTATGATGGATATTTAAGCCCTTAACAGTCAAACTGTTATTTATTCGCCTTAAAGAGGAAGAATGTAGTTGTAAAATCTCAGCGAATGAATTTGAAGTAAATCCAACGTTTCACCTGGCAATCCGGTCCAAGCTTTCTCAAGGAAATTTACAATATATTATTAATTCGCCTGTTTATAAAAAAAATCCTACCTCACTGTTACTATGTCTAACAGAAGTCTATTGTCATTAATATTGTAATTATCATCCTGAAAAATAAGTATATATTTGCGATTGTAAAGCTTTGAAAATGAATTCGCTGAAAAGAGAATTCTTCGCTGAACCAATCTTTCTTATTTAATACTTTAGTTGACAAATCTAATTAATACTATCAATGTTCAGAGAGAGCGAGAGAAAAACAAGTAGAAAATCTATAAAAAGTTGAATACTGGGCCAGGAACGAGCAGCCAAATTTAAATATATTTTATTATATAGATAAGAAAATAAATCAACTCAAATTTGAGTTTTGAAGTATCGATAATCAAAAAGTCTATTAGTTTACACTAACTAATAAAATATATTCTTAATTTAAAAGAAATCAATAAGAGTTAACCAAAGTTACATAACTGTGTAATAACTAAAATTGTTCTTAAATTAATTTACTTAATCCACTTTGACTTGCTTCCTAGATTTGTTAATGGCAGCAGTACGTTTAGCCTTCATCTTTTGATCCACTTCTTGACGTTTTAATTCTTTAGCCAACTTATATGAACAATAAGCACAAATTATCATGAGAGGTGTGAGGATTATTAATATTGATGTAAGAAATTCCCACGGGCTTTTAGCTACATATAATACGAACTGAAAAAAAACAAGAAACAAAAAGAACAATACGTACAATAATGCATCGAGAATAATCATAAAATTACAATTGTATGCTAAAGTCAGGGCGTTTTCGAGCTGGCAGGGATATAACCTATTCAGTTATGGTATCCTGTGTTACTGCCCCTGAAGAACAATTTGTTTCCAAGTACACATCTATCATATGAGCTCTTTAATTTGAAAAGATATGAGTTTCCGTTTCAGTCACATACCTGAGTATCTAATTAAATATACAAATGAATATGATGGAAATCCAACGACAGTATTTTACACACATTTGCGTATGGATGTAATTAAATGTGGAGCTTACAATGTAACTGAATGATCCAATTTGACGGCGATTTTGACTACAATATACATGAATTTTCAATTTAGTTGAAAGGTAGTAAAAATTTATAAATTCTCCAGAAAACTAGTTAGTAGTGATACACAATAGGAAACAAGTGAGACATAGGTTATTTGACTATTTTACTAGGGACCTGACAGATAGAGACAACAGGATCCTAGCCAGTGATGATTCACTTACAGCCTTAAAAGATAAAATTTAACCAATGCGCTATTACTTTATGATATCTACTGTCTGAAAGAGCTGTTTGAAGATTTGAAAACTGAGTTCAAATTTTCTAATGGAAATCAACAACCACTGTTAAGCAGGAACATCCATATGACGAATCCCAAATAAGACAAAATGTGCAGCTTAGGCCCCATTCTTATATTCCATTATTAACATGTAATCAAGGTGTTAGCGAAAGATATTATACGTGAACTCTGCTTAATTGATTTCGCGTGAAAAATCAAAAATCAAAGATTATCTCAACTATCAATTAAATAAATTTGACCCGCTGATTTTGTTAAGTCTTGTCGATTGGACGCTATATTCGTTCCTAAGCTATTCTGATAACCCGCACGCTAGAACTATTCAGCGACCTGAACACCAGAAAGAAGACGCAAAAGTATGAAAGAGACACTTTACTCCAAGGTTAGATTTTGTACAGAAAACATGGGTATTTATAGATGTTAGCGTTTGTTAAATCAGACTTTGTACTAGATACAACGTTTTTCTGTTAGCATCAAATAATATTTTGTAAATAATCCACTTAACAAGATGAATAGTCAAAAATTTTGCACTGAATGACTAACGCTGAACACTAATCCCAGTAAAACAACATAAGCATCCAATGATTTTATGCAACTAATTGAAACAACTCAGTTTCAGTAAGGACTACATAACTCGTGCCTTAAGAAACTAATTATTACTACCGTCGTGTATGCTGACAAATGAAAGAAAGCTGATTTTCATTGATAATATTACTTAATAATGATAGTAGATGCAATCAAATTACTCTAAACTAGTTGTAATACAATTATTGTGTTTTGAAGAAATATATAAAGACCTATATGATTCGAAGAAAAAAATAAGGTAAGATGAGCAGGTGAAAATGAATTTCACACAAAAGATAAATGAACTAGATTCAAACTATATTATTTTGGAAAACCAATTCACTAATATTGTATGAATAAGAATGCTGAAAAAAAGTAATTGGTCTACACTAACCTTTAAAGAAATATAGGAAAACCAATCAGACCAATTATCTGGAGAGTGACTTAAATCAATATTATTTAATTTGTCCAAACTGTCTCCTTCAAGAGGTTCTGATGGATGATCATTCATCTAAAATGAAATAATAAGCAAAGAGTTATTTAGAAATCGGAAAGACACTTGAGAATTCCATAAACGAATAATTGGTATAAACTTAATATATCTGAGCGCTACCCATACTTACTATCTCTAGTTATCTACTGGATTGAAAACAATACATACAGAAATGATAAATTAGGGTAACAACGGGATATTTTAATAAAAATGAAAACATGAAATAACTTATGCAATGGGATGATAATTACATTTATTACTTTAAGGAAGCTATAGATTTCGCCCGGACTGTAAAAACCTGGTAAAAAGAGAAGGCTTCAAATCTGTCTTTGCTCGGACCGGGTCCCTAATAAACATCTATAACGAACAAATTTCCAGAGACCAAGGCACAAGTTTGTTTTATCGGTAAAGTGAATGAAGAATGGTAGTTGATGAGAGGGATTACAATAATGCTGCATTCTATAAGCTAGATGGCTTAATTCTAAACTGAAATTGAAGTAAACTTATTTCTTAATCTAGGGAAATTACTGAAATCTCCTAGAAATGTGTTCAAGCACAATAATGATATGAACTTTCAACAAAAATGTTAATCAGTAAAACTGGCGGAATTTTATTGCTACTCTCAATAAATGCACTAACTATCACAATACAGATAGATATCAACACAAAATAAATTCAGTTGAATAAAAGTTAAAAAAGCAATCAATAGGTAGATTATTTATTTGCAAATAATGTGTTATGTACAATTTACAAAAGCATTCGCTCAGTAAAAAATCGTTTCAACATTTCTAAGCAAGATGAAAGAAATTATCCGCTAACTTTTCATCCTCAGGTAAGAAAGTAACTGGACCAAAATATCTTTTATTAAATAAGCTAAGGATATGAAAGGCAGCACGTTTAATATCAGGTATAGCCATCTTTTGAGTGATATTACTTTTAAATAACTCATCTGAAGTTTCTATTTCGTTAGGTAACCAACTTGGTTTAGATACAGTCAGGAAAAATTTGTTTTTAAAGCACACGCTGACCAATAATTCGTTAACATCAGTGGTAGGACCAGGTAAATCAAAAAGAGAAACGTATTCTGTACGTTGACGACGATTCAACCAAAATAACAAGTAATCCACTAGTACTTCTAAAAGTTTAAGGCCAAACAAACAGGAATTCAATTTTAAAAATGAGTTGAAACAAATAAGCAGTGACTGGAAAATATAAGAAATAAAAATATTCTTTCTTACTTAATTTCATCCTACTAAAAGGTGAATTGATAGTATCGTTACAACTGAATTATCAAATCAACAAGGTGCTAAGTAACTAAACCTAGTTCTCAGGGAAAGCACTTCTCAAATTACTTGGTGTGGAACAATCATCTATGATACACTAATCAACGACAAGCAAACAAAACAATGATTTGGGAAAGTGCAGCTTGAAGCATAATTGAATCATCTGTATAATCGGCTACTACTTGCACCAGTTACTGTATACCCAGAACAGATTTATTTCTGAAATAAACTTAAGGTTAGACATCTTATACATGATATACTGAACCAAATGTGTAATAGTGAGTAAAGATATGCAAAGATACTACAGGTTTCACAAAATTCCAGTTAGTTAACTAGTCAACATATTTTATCTCCAACTAGAAATGCAAAACACATCACTAGTCATTAAATGATCAGGATACTTTAACGCCACATTATCCTTTATGATCAAACCTAAGTCTTTCATGCTACTATCCGTCAGACTTATTGTTAAACAAACCTTTACACTCATTAAAACAGTGGATTCAACAACAATCGTATGCTTCAAAAACCCCCTATGTCAAAACATATATAACTCGTCGACCAGAAATCAAGTATCTCCAATCACAAGGTAGTCAAGTAACCACAATGGTATAGAGAATGTGTTACCGTTTACCTGACCTATTAAGACTACTTTCATTATAACCTGAATCAACAGTCTACAGGTCTTAAATCAGTGAATCAAACTTTTAAAATTAGACCTTGTTATAATTTAACTTCTTACGACCAAGCTACTCCTAATGCAAAGTAGTCGTGGACAATAATTCACTCGTCAGTCAGTCAGATACAACTTAGGACCAGGCACATATATGCATCGGTCCAAGTTGCCATACCTCATTAACACAACAAGATGGACACCAGATTCATAAAAGTAGTTAATTCAGAGGTGGTAATATATAAAAGAAAGATTGCTCGTAAGGACATAGTACGAGAAGAAAGAATTAGTTCGTAGAAAGATATGAAGCGATTTTAATCTCTTAGTTTGAGGGAAGACAGAGAGTGTATACACCAACGCCACTGTGACCGATTCTGAGCCATGTCACCAAGAGTCTCCAACCATTGGTTACGATAGTCACGCGGACCCCAACCAACTAGTCTGCATCTACCAACATGGCTCAGACTAGAAGTTAGTGACTTTAAGCACTGATACCACGTTTTGGTTTGGCCGCCCCTAACTTTCTTCCAACCATTACCCAACACCGGTTAGCATTGCACGTCATGGTAATCGGTGTTCGAGCATACGTACCACGTGGCCCAACCATCTCAGTCGATGAAGATTCACAACCTCATCAACTGATTTACCATCATTCCCTAATACCCTGCGTCTAACCTTACTATTACTTACCCGGTGATCCCAGCAGACGCCAGCAATATTTCTAAGGCATCTGTGGTCAAATACTAGTAGCTTATGAGTGTCTTCTACTCTTAATGGCCATGTTTCGCTGCCGTAAATTAAAACAGAACGGACTGCCGCGCAGTATACTCGACCTTTTATTGATAGACGGATATCTCGACTTCGTCATAGGTGACGTAAGTTGGCAAAAACCAAGCGAGATTATCGAATCCGTGCAAAGATGTTGTCAGACACCAACACATTAGGGCTGATCAGACTTCCAACATAAGTGAAGTTGTCAGCGCGTTTGACTACTTCACTCCCTATCCTTAGTTCAGGTGTTGACGCAGATCAGTCCTGAAGCGACAACTTGCATTTAGAGGGAGAGAAGCGCATTCCAAACATCCTGGCATTGTTGCTTAGTGCTACGAAAGACTCTGCATTCTATCAGCGCCTTCACCAAACAGGACTATATCATCTGCGTATTACATTCAATTCCCAGATTTGAGCTAAAACATTAGTCAACCTGATCGCTAAAATTTGACCGCCATACTTCAAGACATCTGGAGCCAATCCATCACTACCAGTTGCTCTTCCTCGTTTCAGATTAACTATAGCCTTCTGGACTTCTGCTAGAATTGGGGGATCTACTTCAATGTTCCATTCACACTGTCTGGGAATGGAGGGTAGTTGTAGAGTAGCTGGAGGCCAGCTGAACTGTTCTCTGAAATGTTCCGCCCATCGTTCTAAACGTCTGGACTGAGAGCAGATGAGGGTGTCGTCTTTTTCCGAGATAGTCTCACCTACACATGACTTATTAATTCCAGTTTCTTTTATTAGTCTGTAGAGCTGTCTTGTGTTCCCTATAGCCGCCGCCTTTTCCATCTCTTTTGCTTTCGTTGGCCACCACTGATCACGGTCGTTCCTTAAACTTTTGTTTAACATAGATCTGATCTGTTGTCGCTCTTCATCGTTTCCAGAGCCATGTTGGGCGATGTCTCTCCTTATGCTTAAAATTTGTGTTTGCTAAAAATAAACGATTGTCTGAGCACAGTTGCAGCAGACGATCACCACTATTTGTTCGCTGAGCCGGAATACCAAAATACCCACCTACATGTCTTTCTGTTTGGTTTAATCTACCTACCTCGGCATTAGTCACCTGCTACAAGTACTATATCTGAACGTTGAGCTTTCTGTAAAATTCATCTTTCACCTCATCTGAGCTGGAGTCGGTGGGAGTGTAGGCAAAAACGACAAAAAGGCAACGACGTGTATCCATATCCTTCCGAGTTCTTACGGAGCCGTTTAGCCGAACAAAACATAAACGACTGTTAACGGGGATCCACTCTAACAGTGCTTGTTCCGTCTTCATGCTTAATGCTATCCCTACTCCTTCCAGTCCACGAGAGCTGGCCGTCAGGTCACCAGATACACGGAGGGTGTATCTCGTTGGCTCTCCGTTTCGCCGAGGTGGGGTCAAGTGAATGACCACACTGGGATCCTGTATGCGTGTTTCAGAGACACAGCATACATCAATGGTACGAGATTCTAGGGTTTTAGCCAAGGAAGCCTGTTGACCGATTTGACATAGGGTGCGTACGTTGAAGGCTCCAATGTGTAGTTTGCAGCGAAGTTTCAGTAGACCTGGGAGTGTTTTGCGCACTGGAATCGTTGGCTATGGTGACACTTGAAGGAGAAGCCGAAAAAGGAAGTTTAGAGGTGAAAGTCGATGTAGGAGGAATAATAGGAAGTGAAGATGGAGATTGATTATGAATACAATGGTCTTGAGCGCTGTTAGAGATATGAGGGCGGTTATCATTTCCCGGTTGCCCACACCGTGGAAGGGTTCTTCTGGAGGTACCTGAAAAGAAAATTGGATTAGAGGTGGTCTTAGTGACCTGGGAGCGTGACCGCAGTGCCCAAGGGACAACTGCTTGAGGTCAGTCACACACGACCTTTTTATGAGTAATATTTGAGTTAGCTCCGTACTTGTTGAGACCCTACCGGCGGAGACGGATGTCCGTGTGATAAGACGAGGTGTGTATCTTTAGGGTCGACCTTTTCTAACCCCACCCCTCCTTGTGGGAAGGCAGCATCGCTGTCATGCTGGTTGTCTGAAGGAAACACCTTACTGCTGCCACGCCTCTGTACAGTCAGCAGTACGACTTCGCCTTCGGACCTTGGGTTTGTTGCTTTTAGTCTTACCGCTCTTCAACCGACCTCTCTGGCATGGCAGGACTTTTAAGAACGATTGTTCCAGCCAGTATAGCTCGTTGCTTCATCACGATAGGCAAGCCCGACCACCACGTCAAGGTAGCAACAACAGTCGGGATTCACTCGACAAATCCCCAAATCAGAACACGGTTGAACAGGAACGAAGACTGCATTCCAAATAACAAGGGTAGATGGAAGTAGGAATTTCAGTAAGAAAAACGTTAGTATATTTATAGTTTATACTTGTGAAGATTCTAGAGTCTGCTACAAGCATTCGCTAGCGCTGATTGGACAAGTAGCCCATCAGCGTGCTCGAACACAAACCTGCACGCAACGTGCTTTAAATTAATCTATATTCGTCTAACACATCTGTCCCCAAGTAAATGGTGAAAAAAAATTTATGAGTAAAAGGGTCACGGTTTTTCATTTTCTTAATCAAACTCTAGATTACTTAAAATTAAATGACCACTACATGCAAGAGAGAGAAAAATGTAACTAAAATAAATCAGGAGCTCTTTTTATTAGAAAATGAATTATTACCTGGTTGAAGAGATGAATAATCCACAGCTCCACAAACACAAAGGCTAAGTCGTTCACTTAAAGTTCGAGCACGAGGCTCTAGGATACCAGGTGTATCAAACACCTGAATTTTGTAGTCAGTAAGACCCATTACACTGTCATCAGTATCATCCGAAATATGACTTGAGTTTCCTCTGTACAAAATGATCGGATGACCCACAGAACGAGTTTGACCAGCTGTGCGTCCAACTCTTGCTGCACCCCCAGGACCTCCCTGCCCAATACTTCGTAGAACATTAATCAGTGTACTTTTACCACTATTTGGAATACCTAAGACCATAACTGTTATAACTGAATTGGCAGGATGCCCTGAGATAGTAGCTAAATGAGGTAGACTATAATATAAAAACAATAATAAAATAAATCAAAATTGAACCGAAGAAAAACAAACTTCTCAAGATTATTCTTACAATCGAAATTTTATCAATATATCATGCCAAAGCTATCATTTTGTGAAGTATTCAAGCTTCTTTAAGTTAAAACACAAAGACTAGCCTACCAACCTGGACATCAGTCGTTTCAAAATCCCCTTCTGCTTTTCAGGTGCGTTAAGCTGAGTATAGTATACTTCAAGTGGACCACGTTTAATAATACGTGATTCCTCAACAATTCGATTTGTATGAGCCTGCCGATCACTAATTGGTTCGGCCAAGTCAATTTTGTTCATCAACAAAATTGTAGGACGATTCTATATAAAAATACAATTAAATTTTAAAATCAGCTATACGAAACGCAGTGGATAGCATAAATTTATAGCTAGGATGAGACATCTTGAAAATATTGCCAAAAACATATAATTGAAGAAATAATTTTGGCTGAAAAACTAAATTTCCGGTCAATTTTAATGTTTTCAACAATCTAATGAGTATGCTGGAAGAATGAATAAGTTCATTCTTAGATAAATTCTGCCTGAGACTACATCCAGTAGTTTTCCACTTACTATTGTTTGAAACTAAACACAGTTTTCTAGTGTGCACACGACATGAATATCATAGGTCGGATTTATTAATATACTTAGATTACCTCTGTAGGCTCGGCAATTTTACAGCATATCTGCGCTACCTTTATTTCCACACAGTGTTTGAAGTTAAAAATGAACTAAGCATTGTAAACACTTCCAGTATATCCCTCAGTAGTGGACAGACAGTACAATGCAAAAGCTTTTACACAGAAGAATCAATGTAAACTGTTACCCAACAGAATGATCAGATTGACAAAATGAGATGGGAAAACAGGAAAATATGATTTGAGAGATTAAAAAAAGGTTGTGAATTATCGACCATAGTGTTCAAGACCAGTCACAATAAGTATTCATTAACCCAAGCTGTCACATTACACAAGCACAAATATGAAATTAAAAAAGGATAAATAACAATTGAGTCGAATAATAAGGTCTATGACCGTGAAAAAAGATTAAACATGAAGAATATGCAAAACTGAAGTCAACTCAATCACATCAATAAAAAAGTATTTCAAAATGATGGAGATTTGTAGCTCAGGTAAATACATTTGGCTACGTGTTTTCTGAGCTGATAGGTTTAATTGGAAGTTAGTTATCAGTCATCATAAACACATATCCTGGTGGATATGTGAGCTGGCCAACGTTGTCACACAATATTATCACAATATGAAATTAGCAAGATGAATGGCGAAAGCCAGTGAAAAGGCATGAAAAAATACTGGAAGTCAAGAATGTGGGAAAGCCAGATAGTCAATCCATATGAATCATGGTGGATGATTTTAAGGTATATCACCCAACACACCCCCAACCAGGTAGTCTGCATCTATCAACGTAGCTCAGACCAATAGTCGATGACTTCATGGACTGATCCCATGTTTTATTTGGGTCGCTCTTGGTTTTCTTTTAACCTGACTTCATACCACGAAACATGCCCCGTCGATGTGACTGGGAATACGTAACAAATGTCATTACCACCCCAGTCGATGATGACTTATAAACGCACTAACCGATTTGCCAAGTTTACCTAGCAATCTATGCCTAACTTCAACATTACTCATCCACTAATTCCACGAAACGCTTTAAAAACACCCATGATCAACATCATGCAGCCTATCCAAGTATTCTACTTTGTAAACCGAGTTTTACAACCATAAGGTTATACAAACCGGACTATCGCACAGTATACGCTCGGCTACTCCACAAATGACCCAGGTTGGCAAAGGCCAAGTGAGCTTTCTGGATCCATCCCGAGACATAGATACCAACCCACCGGGCCTGATGAGACTTCTAGGATATGTGAAGTAGTCAATACGTTAAGTCACTTTAATCTTTATCACTGGTTAAGTTGACGGACTAGTGTTAAGACATTTTAGATTTAGAGGGAGAGAAACTCATCCCAATAAATAAGACTGTCATCTTTGTATTCAAAGCCGATAAGTAAAACTCCTGATAGGATATTACCCTTAAAAAGTTAAGTGGAAAAGCGTCATCTGTAGGGAAACTACTATGACATAATCAGATTAATTGAGAAGCTGTATAACATCATCAACGCTTTCTTCACGTAGAAGTGAACTGTTTGGTTAACACAAAAGGCTCATTTTACACTGATGTTTTCCAGAACGACAACAAAAGCATTGCAATAAAACCACCCAGCTCAGAAAATACAACATAAGCAAATATAAGAGAGCATTTCCAACACGAATGGTAACAGAAGAATGAGTTAAGGAACTAGTGAATCGATTAAAATGAACGCTTATAAAGATCTCATAATCTCTTTAACTTTAAATGTATGCTGACAGATATAAAAGTCACCAAATAAGTTACTCCTAACTAACACAAAATATAAAGAACTCATAAATAAATATTGTGAATTAATATAAAAAGACCGAATACTATGAAGGGCTCCATAAAGGATTAAGAGTCGAAATAAGCTACAACTCAATCGAACACTTTCACGCAACAAAATACACTAAGACTTTCAATAAAGAAAACCCAGAAAGCTACACTCAGTGAAATAAACAGACGGTGTTTGAAACTAGAGTAGTTAACATGCCGTACGTATAACGTTTGCATTAGCCAAAAAGATAATACCCAATAGTCTTAGGTTGGTCAAAGGACACTGTGAACGGAATGCTTGTGAAATGTCCCAAACACTGTTTATTATTTGAACACATGAATATTGGTACAGGAGAGCGCCAATATATATGCGCCACACAAAACAATGAGAATTCGAAGAGAAGTAGAAAAAAAACTAAGGAGCGCAAAAGAAAAGAGAACAATGACGAAGAGATTGGAGTAAGGTAGTGTGGTAGTAACGACGGAACGAAAAGGTACAATCAGAAGGAATCTTTCAGGTAAAGGAGACACAACCACTTTTTATGAAGAAAGTAAAAGAAGGTTACAGCAGGATCGCCACTGGCTTCTATTCTGAGCCATATCTGATAACGTCTCTAGCCACTGTGTAGCACCATCTCTCAGACCCCAACCAGGGAGTCGTGAAGGACTAACAGAAGCCAGTCCTTTGCAGCTTTCTTTCATACCACGACACCATATCATGTACTGACCACCTATCCGCTTCTTCCAACCAGTCCCAGAGTCGGCAAATAATGCACGACGTGGAATTCTCTGGGACGACATTCGGAGAACATGTCCAAACCACCGAAGTCGGTGTTTCTAGATGGTGACACCAATTGAATTATCATCTCTGTGCCCGAACACACGATGCCGAACCTCTGCATTACTGACATGGTGTTGCCACTGAATGTCAGCAATCCTTCGGAGACAGCGATGATCGAACACAGAGAGTCGTCTAACGTCCTCAACTCGGAGAGGCCAGGTTTCACAAGCATAGAGCAAAACTGCTCTGACCGACGCGTTGTAGATCCGGCCTTTTACAGCCAGACTAACATCAAAGATGGTCCAGATTGGCATAAGCCGCTCTGGCTTTCACTATTCGTGCATTGATGTCATCACTCACACCCCCACCAGCACTTATGCAGCTACCCAGATACACGAACTTCTCAACTACGTCTATCTGCTCACCATCCAGGGTGAGTACAGGATTAGAATCCTGCCAGTCTTGTAGAAGTACTTTGCACTTCGAAGGTGCAAAGCACATACCATACCTACGGACACTGATTGCCAACTGATTAAGTGCGGATTGCATGCCTTGGGCATTATCACACAGTAAGACAATATCGTCCGCATACTCAAGGTCGAGAAGTCTTTCTCCAGGCAACAGATCCACAACACCATTACTTACATTCATCAGAGCTGTTTCCAGAATGTCATCGATGGCAAAGTTGAAGAGGAATGGTGAGATTGGGCAACCCTGCCTAACCCCACTGCTCGAATGGAACAATGGAGAGAGGTGGTTGTATGCCCTCACTCTGCCTGAGGTGTTTTTATATAGGGCTTTCAGGATGTTAATAAACTTCTCAGGCAGCCCTGATGTCAAGAAACACTACGATTGTTGGCCTTTGAAAAGTATGGCGGTGTTCTAACATTTGGCGGAGGGTGAAGATATGATCAATACATCCTCGACCAGAACGAAACCCAGCCTGCTCCTCGCGAGTCAATCTTTCTCGGGTTTTGAACAACCTACGAAGAATGACGGAAGCCAATAGCTTGGACGCAATCGGAAGTAAACTTATCCCCCGATAGTTGTTACAGGAACGACGTGAACCCTTTTTAAAGATAGGGACAACTATCGACTCATCCCATGACGTTGGTACACTCTCTAGTTCCCAAACCTTTGTAAACAACGTCGTCAATTCCTTAGTCAAAAAGTCACCACCATCTTTAAAAAGAGCCGGAGGTAAGTCATCTGGGCCAGGTGATTTGTAACGCTTCAAGAGTTGGAGTTCCTTGCGGGCTTCCTCCTCATTTGGTGGATCAGTCGTCACCGGCCATGGAGGGCAGGACAGTCTGACCGATGTTGTCGAAGCAGCAGGCCAGTTGAACTGCCCTTCGAAAAAAATCCCTAACACTGGGGATATATCGAAGGAACCTTTAACGCTGCGAACAATACTTCATTAGCTGGCTCACTGCTTTGATATATTTTACTTAACTGTCTTGTGTTCATAACCCAAGGTAGATCTACCCACTTACTAGGGGAATCTGAGAAAGCGCCAAGTATTAAAGCACTACAAGTTGCTCTATCTTGAAATTACCAAACACTTTCAAGCACTGAGTTCCAACCACAGTTGCATTTCTTGACATCAAGACTACCTTTCGTTCATTGGACAGGAAAATGTGGTGAGTCAACCAAAATCGCGAAAACCCTGTCAAAAAAACCCTAAGTAGAGTGGTTAATGTGAATCACATCACACCACTTTAAATCAGAAACGGTCAAGTAGAAATGCCGAACCTCACTAGCTTACTTTTGTCACATAGGATCCTTGAAATGAATTTATAAAAAGATTGTATAGTGATGTAAACCCAACAAATAACGATGACCAAAAAACATGATGTTATCTTACTAGGGAAAAAGTAAAAAGTAGTAACTTGGTTTTGAATCAAGTGGAGACAAGCACCATGAATTTGGTATGTGCTTCACACTGTTAGTGTGAAATGCTTTTACAAGATTGTGTGTACTTGACTCTGTATTACAGAAAAGATTTCATCAAGGTGTCAAAGTGGGAAGTGGTCAAATTTTATTTACTTAAACACATAAACATTGGTACAATGAGGCACCAAATAGATATGCGCCACATAAATCACTCGATTTATGTGAGGACTGGGATACTCCCCGGGTGCCCAAGCCGAAACAGGTGGTTTTCTTAGGAGGCTAATCCCCGAGCGTTTGACCTGAAGGTTTAATCCACAAGGCAGTGGAGCAACGTATGAAAATGCAGTCTCATGGTAGCCAGTGACCAGCAATAGGTTAATGCGCTATTTGTTTCCTTAGGATCATGGAGACCATGTACACCATTGGTTTGGAATCAGGGTTTTCCAACTCCTTTAGGTGGATCCTCCGTGTCAACCAACCCGGTTAAAGCGCCGGACACTCACTTTTCGTCTTCTTAATTTCATAAACAACAGTAACGTCTTGAGAAGGCAGTGAGTAGGACTTCTCTGGCAGTGATTGCATGCACGTGGTCATTTGAGAACATTTCGAGAGGTGACTATCCCCACTCTCTGTCGTACCAGGGCATTTGAAGGCAAAGGGGCCAAATGATTAACATGAAACTTAATATTCTTAATCATGGAAACGGATAGGTTTCTTGGTGATACCTAGATACTGCACACGGACTCGAATTCTAAAATGCAAGAAAATTTCTTTAAAAAATGACTGGTTTCCTTACCAATTCAAGCTTCTGAAAAATCTCAGGTCTACCGGAGAAAGGTATCCTTGCGTCGTGAACTTCGATAATGACATCAACAAGTGGCATTTTAGAATGAATGACATCCATGCCTTTACGCATATGCCCTGGGAACCATTGAACTGCTTGTTGACCAATATACCGAACTCTCTCTGATTTACAAGAAATGTTTCCGAAACTTTCTGAAGAAAACAATCGTTGCAAAACTGATTTTGAAGCATATCTTTGGTAACTAAAAATCGTTGGCATGGTGACAAGGATCAAACCTTGAACTAAAAAGACCAGAATCGCTTTTATCAAAATAAGCCCCAAATGAAGGCAATAGATCCCCAGATGGTTCACAGTCTACAGTACGGAAAACAAAAATAAGTGTACATTTTCAATAAGTAACATTTTCAAATGATTTGAAACGGGATAAGTATTTTGAGGTTTAGAAAAAGTGGATTGCTTATTCTTTTGAGTTAAGATGTAAGGCATTATCTTTATTACAAAGAATATACGATGTCTAAATTCTAATTTGGGTTTCAATTATTGAAATGAAGCAATATGATAAGTGAAAAAAGTATAGGACCTATTCAGCCAAGACGATCTAGTAACAGGAGAGACAATGTCATATGGAAAAAACGATGTGAACTTATTATTGGGTTGAGAAGGAAGATTTGGGGATTTTTAAGTCTCAATTTATTGATTTTATTTATTTATTTGGACACATAAATATTGGTACAAGAGGGCACCAAATATATATGCGCCACACAATACAATGAGAATTTGAAGAGAAGGAAGAAAAAGTTAAGGAGCGTAAAAAAAGGACAATAACGAACAGATTAGTGTAAGGTAGTGTAATAATAATAATAATGGGGGAAACAGAAACGTACAATCAGAAGAGATCTTTCAGTTAAGGAAAATACAACTTTTTATGAAGAAAGTAAAAGGTCACAGCAGAATCGCCACTGGCTCCTATTCTGAGCCATATCTGATAACGTCTCTAGCCACTGTGTAGCACCATCTCTAGGACCCCAACCAGGGAGTTGTGAAGGACTAACAGAAGCCAGTCCCTTGCAGCTATCTTTAATACTACGACACCATGTCATACACTGACCACCTCTCCACTTTTTCCAACCAGTCCCAGTGTCGGCAAATAATGCACGACGTGGAATTCTCTAGGACGACATTCGTAGAACATGTCCAAGCCACCGAGGTTGGTGTTTCAAGATAGTGACACCAACCGCATTATCGTCTCTGTGCCCGAACACACGATGCCGAACCTCTGCATTACCAACACGGCGTTGCCACTGGATGTCAATTATGGAAAATACTTTTCCTGCTTCGATTAACAATCAAACGATTCATATTACTATTATTTAAGTTTCAAACTCATGTAAGATAAGAGTTCACAACGAGAGAATGTGTAATTATTTATGGCACGGATGTCCTAATTAGAAAACTAAATACAAAATACAACCTAGCCTCAACAATGGAAGAATCCACATAAGTTTCACAAAAGTATGTCTACTAATAGTGTGCATACTTTTACTTCGTAAGAAACAACAGTGTACGCAACAGGTGGTTAGATATAAAACCAACGGGAAAACTAGCATAAAATGAAGTAGTTCAAGTTCCCAAACTTTATAACGAAAACTCAGTTCAGTATAAACAAAAAAGTAATGCCAAAAAATAACCTATCTGTTCTGTCTTGTCTAAATATGGCACTCTCGACAGCCGTCTCATACTACAAATAACGTCTGTCAGTCAGTAACAACGTAGAACTTCGTACGTACGTACATCAGTTCGAGTTGTCATACCACATTAGCACAGAGATGCAGTTGTCGATTCAAATCCCGTAGTGCTAGATTTAGTAAAATTATAAGCTGTAATCAGAAAAATTAGGGTTCGAAGATGTTATTCAAGGAGTATAATCCAGTGAAATAAATTTGGGAAGAGAAAAAGAGACAAGGAGGAATCAGGAAATTAGAATTTGGGAGAACACAGAGAGTGGATGCATCTGTGCCATTGCAAACGATTTTGAGCCATGTTATTCAGGGTCTCTAACCATCGGTTGCTATCATCTCGCGGTCCCCAACCAAGTAGTCTACACCTACCAACATAACTCAGTCCACTTGTCAGTGACTTCATAGACTTGTGCCGTGTTTTGGCCTGGCCGCCCCTAGCTTTCTTCCAACATACTCCTATACAATAAAACATCGCACATCGAGGCAGTCGGTCGTTGGGCATACGCAACACGTGTCCCAGTCACTTCAACTGATGAACTTTCACCACTTCATCAATCGATTTGCCATCCTTACCCAATACCCGTTTCCTAACAACTGCATTACTTACTCGATGGTCGCGGGATATACGAGCAATGTTTCGAAGACACCTATGATCGAATACTAGTAACCTACGAATATCCTCTACTCTTACCGGCCACGTTTCACTGCCACAAAGTAGGACGGAACGAACTGCTGCGCAGCAAACCCTCCCAATGGTTGATAGACGGATATCTCGCCTACGCCATAAATGACACAAGTTGGTAAAAGCTAGTCGAGCCTTCTGTATTCGTGCTGAGATTTCGTCACACACCAGACCACAAGGGCTGATCAGACTTCCAAGATAAGTGAAGTGGTCGACACGCTCAACTACTTCACTCCCTATCATCAGTTCGGGTGTCAATGCAACCCAATCCTCAAGCAACATTTTGCATTTCAAGGGGGAGAATCGCATCCCGAATATGCGTGTATTGTTGCTTAGAGTGATCAGAAGACTCTGCATTTTGTCAGCGTTTTCACCAAATAGAACTATGTCATCGGCATACTCCAAGTCAACAAGTGAATCTCCTAGTAGAAGTTCAACCCCTGTAAATTTAGATGAGGAAAGTGTTATCTCTAAAAGTACGTCAATGACAAAGTTAAACAAGAATGGAGAGAGTGGACAGCCCTGACGAACACCACTTGAGGTAATCTATTCTGATGACAGTTCGCCATAAGCTCTCACTCTACCAGTTGTGTTCGAGTAGAGAGCCTTTACAAGGTTAATGTACTTTTTTGGTACTCCTTTCAGTGACAAACACTGCCATAAGACCTCACGATCAACAAAGTCGAATGCTGCTTTGAGGTCGAGTAATACTACGATTGTGAGGCGTCTGAACGTGTGTCTGGTCTTTGTAACCTCCGTAGGCTAAATACAGTTGAGTATGTAACTTAGTTGGTCGATTGCTCCAGCTTGTTCACTCTAATTCGGCAAATCACTGCAAACTTTGGGGAATTTGAGGTGATATTCAGCGAAACGTCTAGGGCGATATAGCGTTTCTAACACATCGGTTGACCAGTGTCTCAACCGATTGAAGCACTCAAAAAATCATTGATCGATTATGAATAAAATCTTATATTTATCTCTACTATAGAACACTATGTTCCACAGAAACGGCTGCACCGTTTAGAAACATTAAGCAAACTAAGTACTTATATGCAAAAAGGAATATGTATTCGTACCCTGCCTCAAAAACTTGTAACCTCAGTAACCGTACAGATGAGATTGCTACAAACTGTATCTGTATTACCGACTGCCAATGGATGGAATAAATCGTAGGTAACACACTAAAAACAAGAGCGACATGTGGATCTCAAGAAATCTTCAGAAAGCATCCAAAGAACCCGATCACACTGTACACACCAAAGTCAAACGGCGGCAAAATTACTGGTGCGTTCAAACAGTTCAAACTGTTCTTGACGGAATGTAAGAAGCTTTCACTTAACATGATTACGCGTCTAGTAGCAGTGGATCACCGATGCCTCCAAGTAGGAAATTAAACATATTCAATGATGAAAGAGAAATAGCAAATAGTAAAGCATAGCGTAGTACTGTCCTTAGTCCTTAAGAATATGTCAAGTTTCTTCATAAAGGACTCCTACGAAGTCGTTAGAATTGGCTCACTCGACAGTGGGTTCTAGTAAAAGGTGTGTCCTCAGTCCGTTCTGCTGTGTTGTGTCGCTAACTTCTGGGTGTTATCCCTAAGGTTTGTATTTGGACTGAACTTAAGTAGGTATTTAATGGGATGCACATGATTGTTTATGACGCTCTAATTCATTGAAAAATCACTTCAAGACGCTTTTACTCTGATGGATGGGGATTCAATGATTTTTGATGCTCTTCATAAGGCCTCAACTTGAGTCCCCGAACCGATTTCGTGGCTTGTCTCTGTATCCGTTACAATATATTCTTATCCCCTTTGGAGTAAGGGAGGAAATATTGTGTTTCCTTACTCTAAATGGAGCCGAATAAAACTACTGAAGATTAGACGTAAAGTTCTACCGACGAACTGGCCAAAAATGTGCTTCAACGTCCTCGGTGCAGGGTTTGCTCGAAAGGTATTTTTGTCACGGTCCACGTAAGACTTCAGATCATAGGGTACCAACAGTCCTAGATACCCTTAGGATGGAGTTATCTTTATTGTGTGTTTAACCTGCAACATGTCTCAGATGGACTATTCTACAGCTTTATCTGTTTAAGGTAAGTCCGCTTTTACCAGTCAAATTTTGAATTCCGGTCAGATCCTGCGGAAGTACTGGCTCATCATCTTGGTTGTAAACTTCTCTCCAGAGTTTTACATCATGAGATATATTAAATCAGACTATACCCATTGGGATCGGTCATTTATATGAACTAAGAAGTGGTGAGGTCACAGAACTGAACGCTGAGAGACCCAGCTACCACATCCGTAGCCTGAGAAAAAGTGAAATTTTGTGAGATTGTAATTTTTGGACGAACCAATAAGATATAAGATAGCAGGTTTCGGATTTGGGCGCAAAATATACTTATCGATTTGGCAAAATAGAGTTTCGCCATTATAGCTGATGTCAGTTCGTGATGAAACCCCTAAATATAAATCCTAATTTTAACCATCAACTTCGAATCTTAATTCGAAGTCCTCACACCAGTTTATAACCCCCATTTCGTCCTACATATTAGGCGGATACTACCAAGGTCAGTCCAGAGTCGCTCAAAAGTCGTCCATAAATTGTAATCTCACCTTAAATTCATCCTGACCCCACAACGTCGGTTACTTAGATATGAAGTAAATCAATCAATTAACGGTAACATGGTGCCTGTTTTAGCTTAAGACATATGATTGACCCTATCAAAAGCTTTGAGAAGGCAAAGAATATGACACCGACCTTCCCCTTGGGGTCGACGACGATTGTCCGCCTGTCCACCGCAGTTGGCAAGTCGGTTATACGAGAGAGACCCTTCCTAAAAAGGGTGTTATCGAGGTGATAAGAAGTTCATAGATGGCAAATAGTCAGATAGACCATCACATGTCAGGTACTCCATAGTTTTTGAGGGTATTAAGATAATATCTACCAACAGATAACTTGAATGTTCTGTGCACTGACCTCTTTTGGATATAAGTAAGCAGCGACACCGTCGTTGTCGTTTAGGCTATTAAGACCTTATATCAGGAAACTCCAGTTTGTTGAAGAGAGGCATCATGACGGAACAAGCTTTTCGGATCGGAGATAAATTTATTGGCCAGTTTTATCTGATACTGGAATCTATCTCCTCTTATGTCCTTTGTGCATTGTTTCCTTACTTGTTTGAACTGCCTGTATGTGCTATTGTCATCAAATAATTTCACTTCCGTACAGTAATGCGTTAGATACGGGAACGTATATCAACGCATCTCAGTGACAAAATAAGTCACTATTGTGTACAGCAACTCTATGGTGGCAAGTAAGTACGAGTGAAAATTTATCACATGTTGGCTTTTAAACATTGAGCTCTACAGATTTGATTTGTCTGTTGGCCCAGTGGTTAGAGAAGTCATTTTTAATAATTATTCTTATATAGAGTATAGCTTATATCATGAAGTTGATTTATCTGTAGTGGCATTGGACAATAGCCACACAATCCACAAAGCTGTGAACACGAGACTACTCAGAAAATAGATATTCAATATTTAACTCGGGGAAATACCTAACAATGGAGAAGGCGTGGAGAATGAATTGAATGGACTGGAGTTGTTCGAGTGGCATGGCTCGGCCATGCAGGCATGGTCTCTGCTGAATGTTACCTTATATCTTCTATTCATATTAAATATATTGTTCTTTCTCTAGCCTAACCTTGTTCTACATCATGTATTGGTAATTGATGCAATACAGTGAGTTGGCGTAGTCGATGGTGTGACTTCCACGTAAGATCTTATAGATTAGGCAGTTATATCACGACAAATCTACAAATTTAGGATTAGGTCTATTATTAGAGCAGTACTAATATCGTAGTAGACCATAATTCCACATTGGTGAGCCCAACTAAAGAAACGCGACCTATTACAAATAATCCTTATTTCCACTTCAACTTTCTCGATCGATTTTATATTTATGTTAACCCTATATTCTAATAGTCCTCTGATTAGTGCTCACATGCATTATCGTAATGTTATATTGATTAGTCCTCATGACAAACTAGCTCAATCGATAATAAAAACTGGTCGTCTATATTAACTAATTAGCTTTGATGGTTTGTTAACAAGCTGTAATAGCATTTACATGCTTCAGCGACATAGTCTTGTTTAAACATCAAGCTCTAGCAAATATGACCTGTAAATAGCGTAAATATACATTGACTAACAATGCGATCAAGGACTAAATAGTAATCTGGATCTAATTCTCAGTGTTCCTTCACTTAACACCTCATCCTTTTTTAAACGATGCACTATCCTGTAATATCTTTTCTTCCGACCACTGCCTGCCTAATTTCATATTCTCGAGTTCCATTGCCAAACAACGAGGATGACTACTCCAAAACCATACGGTGAGCTTCAACCATAAGTTTTCTGCAATCATTTTTAGATGGTTCGTTCAATGACAACCATACAACTATCTGGATTCATTCGATTGTTCTGATCCGAGCGAGTGTCAAAAACCTCAACAGCATCAAGCACCCTGGAATTAATTGCCATACTGCATGTTTTATTCTGGATGCTTTTGGATCAATACTACTCACGAATGGCGTTATATATGTCGTCCACTGAATAATCTAATTTTCAAAAATAATTCAGGCGAGTTCAACCATTTTACTGGATGATTTTTTTTGTACCTAACATGTATATCCTTTCCTGTTGCTTTTACCACATATTTGTAAGTGTTCCTAGGCTAAATGCAGTAACTTATGGAATGTTTATAACGCGTCATATTCCTGCCTGAAGTTTCATAAGCAGTCTTAACTTTAAAATTATTTTTTGGTCATGTTCATTATTTTTAAATTTTTATATACGTCAACAACCTGCATGTTAACATGGCTCGTACATACGTCACACTATATCTTCATGTCTTCTAAATTTAGGAATAATCTGAATCGCCTTTAATATTTATCGATAAACCCATCAAAGTCGTGTTGCTAATCGTATTTGGGTTTATGGATTGGTTTATCATAGTAGCAGCCTAGAATGCGAACATAGTTTAGGTAATAAGATTAAAAATTCAGGTACTATCAACTGCACTAGTGAAATAACTAAATCCCTTGGTAGTTGTTGGCTAAACAAACGTTTAAAATCAAAACTCCATAGCCTACTAGAATTAACACTAAACGAATCCTTCTGAATTAAAATTTATAATTAAATTAGGCGTCTCGGATTCTTTAACGTTACAAATTTCTGATGATTTCGAATCACCTAAAGCAACAATACCTATTTTTCCACTGACTAATCCTCATTTAACACTAACTAGTTAAACATAATAGTTTCAGGATATCGTCATAAAGCATTGTCATTACTTGACAATCACGTAATATGATTGATATAATTAATGAAACTATTAACGAAATCGGTCAACAAATCGACTTATAATTACCATTAAATGGTGTTGTTTCCTTGGTATCTTCATCCATCACAGATGATTACAGTATGTTTCTCTCTCAGTTGCTCATTCAGTAAATATCTCAAAACCTTATCAGTCTGATTGATGGTTTAGCGACACAATCATGCATGCAAATAATCAATATAAGCAGTCGAGCAAATCTCCTGCAAACTGAAAACATCAATGTCGAATTTACCCCAACACTGACTAAGGTTCAAGCCATTATCATAGACATGAGTTGGGAGTGTACTCCCCTTGGTTACAACTTATGTTCTCCCTGATAATCACATGAGCATCACTTACTATTAATCGTCTTGTAAAAATACATCTTGCAGCACCACATCACTTCGTAATATGACACAGGCCTAACTGATTTTAATAACTTATAACCACTATATCTCAATTAAATCGTATTCCGTTTTATGATAAACTGCATACTTGCAACTAACTTGTATGCCCAATCAGCCAGCAAGTATAAATATAAATAAATAGTCTATCGCAGATCAGAACATTGAGTCCAGAGCATGTCTCTTACGAATACACTCATGTTTAACGATTTTTCCCAGCTATCTGTCCAAAATTCATATAATTATCACTCATATATTTAAATTTTGTTTTGATGAACATTCATGTGTATTAGTAGTATTACTAAATTCTATCACGGTCAAGTAAAAATGAGGTTGAGAAAATCTCCCCGTAACTAAATAAACCGTATCAAACTGACTGGAACACTAGTTGGAATTCTTCTCCACGGTATACTTTTGTTCCTTCAGTTAGCCTACTAATACAGATGCAATTGGAATTCAACTCATATGGACAACTTACCGGCATAATCGTTATTTGAT